TCTAAAAGTGGGTATGTTTTCAGTTTAATCAATAGGCCAAGGAACTAAGGCAACAATGAGATCTTGCCACAGAGAAAGTACCAATTAAATCAAGTAAGGCCCTTTCTATTTCGAGTGCTTCTTCTTCTTAAAACATGTTCATATAAGAGTTTTAATGAGTGTGAACGAAAGCTTCAGAATTTGAAATGCATCTTAAACAATTTATGGAAAACTTCCCAAAATATATTTATGCTTCCTGTTATATACACAGTACCATCAAGAAAATTCAAACCTTTTTATGATGTGTTATTATGAATATCTATAATTTAACTTGAAACCTGCAGAGCTAGTAAGAAGAATGAGCTTACTCAATTCCTCCAAAACTGCTCTAATTTTCTACTTGGTGATTCTGTAGTCTCCTTTCTTGTCAGCCGCCAACTTTCAGAATGTGCATGTAACCGCCAGATTCTAATGTGTTATTTAGCAAAAAGTGAAGGCACCAGAAGAAAATAGTAACTCAAACTTAGAAATTAGTAACTCTATTTTCAAATGCAATTCTAAGTCAATAGGCCATGGAACAAAGATGGGTCCCACTCTTTTGCCAAATAAAGTGTACAGGATTTAGGACAGCTACTTGAAGACATTTTTCCACAAACTGTGGTTTTCTGTTTCAGACAGAGGGAGTTATTGTAAATTTGACTGGAAATAAGGATGTTAGTGTACAGTATATCCGAGGCAAAAGTATTATTGATTTCAAATTTAGAAATGATAGTTCATAGAACACAGCACACTATTTTAAAAAATATTTATTAAAGTTGAAGCACAGAAAAAGTGATTTCCTCAAGATGACTCTGCTAAAAAAAAAAAACCACACCAGCCAAAAAATCAATGTGTTGTTGCTAACTACTCTTTCTTTCACAACATATTCCTTTTATAATGTATTGCATTTTGTATCACAGAGTGATTATAATGACCCACTATTGCCAATACACTCACTTTGAGTTGCTAGCGCTGGCGACAGGTGTACTGAGGCATTTTGGTTTCTTTCTGACCAATAGTACACATTCGTAAGGGGATGTGAACCAGGTAAGGGATCTAAACAGGGATAAATAAGACGCAGTCCTTGTCTTCATGGAGCTCAGTTACTAGTGGAGTCATTAAGTAACTATGCAAATAAACTGCGAAAGGGAAATACAGGGTATCTAGAGAATAAATGAGGATGAAACGATACAATCTGAGCAGTCAGGGTCTGTGAGGAAGTCCATACCACCAGAGCCACCTGACTAATCCTTTAAACATGTAAATTACCTAAGGTCTCTCTTACATTTAATGCCAACACTAGCCCCTTCTCTTTCATTCTACCCATGGACTTTCTTCTTTTTTTATTTTTTTTGTTAACATGCCAAGCTTGTTCCCATCTTAGGGCCTTTGCCCTTGTCCCCTCAGCCTCAAACATTGTCTTCAGATCTTCTAATAACTGGATGCTTCAAACCACCTCAGCATAGATGTTTCCTCAGGGAAGCCATCCCTGTTCTAAGCAAAAACAGACTCTACTATTCAATTCGTTCTTTACCAAGTCACTTTTCTGATTTTTGTCGCACTTTTTGTTTTATTTGGATGACCCTGAAAAATATTTAACATGGTTTTATGAGTTAACTCATGACATTAGTCCCCCTAGTCTTGTTTCCCTCTTAGGATTTTTACATCTCAGCTAGGCTTAAGGATTTTCACAAACGCCAGCCTTACAGTTAGTCCTCTCCCTCGATCAGTTCACGTGGTATCTCCAGGGCCTAGTCTTGCCTAGACCATAGTAGCAATTCAAAAATTATCTGATGGACAAATGAAGTGAAAAAAACAGGAGTGAGAGAATACTGAGAATTGTGCCAAGAGTCATTTCATGGCAGAAGAGATTTTCTCCTTCTATGTGACAGGACAATTTTCAGAAAGTAATGCTATGTACAATCCTTCAAATTTTTGAAAAGAGTTGAAGGGCAGTAGAACAATTACACTTACATTAACAACTAAAACAAGTTCAGAAATAATGTTTTTTCCTCCAAAGCAGGCCTACTATCATGTTATATAAAAATACCCAAACAGAAAAAAAATCATGTCACAGTCTGCACAGCAGATTTATTTTCAGTGCTATATATATGAACTTAGTTATAAAATCTTTCCTACAAATTTCATAGACAACCTCTCATTTTTTCTCTCTTGACATTTGGGAAGGGCGTTATTGGATTTCACTATTTGGGATAGAAGTGTTTGGGACAGATGGCATTCTGTTAAGAGAAAATGGCAAGAATACAAGGAGGCAGAAAGTCAATACCTGCACTTGGAACAATGAAAATACATTAGATTTGCTATAGGTAAATACAGGAATTAGTAACAAGGCTGGAAAAGGGGTCTTAGATGCTAGATGAATGGTTTGGACTTAATCACAAAGTCAGTGCAGACGCTGTGAAAGAAACTGAAAAGTGCTATGCACAAAGCAGCATTTCTTCAATATTAATCTGATGACTGCAGGCAGGACAAACTAGAGGAAGAAAAATAAGAGGTAGGGAGACCCATGAGAAAGCTTTGTTGGTACTCCAGGAATTCATGAGTACCTAGACTGATGCATGAACAGCACAAAGTGCTGAAAAGTGAAAATGGTGTACACAGAAGATAAGTGAAGATTGTATAAAGCATGGCAAGAGATTCGATGTGAAGAAAAAGGAAGACATTAAAAGTAATTATTAACATTGAATAAAAAGGAATATGGAAAAACAAAAACAAGGAGATCATAGAAGCTAGTGTCAGGAGAGAAGGATAGTTTAGTATGAGCCATGTTAAATTTGAGAGGCTTGCAATATAGGGTCAAAAGGTCTACGTAAATATGGAAATGGCTGACTTGAGATTGGAATAAAAACCAGGACTAGACAGAGTGAGTGAGGAATCATCTACAAAGAAAAAGACAGAATTAGTAATGGAAGTACTCTCCTAGAAGGACTGTAGATGGAGAACTATACTGTTACAGACTAACACCTTCATTGAGGGTCACGTTTTGGGGCAGGAGGAATAGGAAGCCAAAGAATACAACAAATGATTATAGAGTTGAAAGAATTCAGAGGCATATCAGAAAAGACAAGAGAATCCAAAAGAGGCTGGTTCAGAGGAAAAGAGCCACAGAATAATAGTCAAAGAGAAATGCTATGTATTTGTATTTACAAGCATCAAAACTTGGTAGTTAAAATGTTGCAATAAATTGTGGGGCAAAGATTTATTCACCTTGTGAATAGGTGAAAGTTTGCTAAGTGTACACTTCTTTAGTGCCATCTTCTCTTATGCAAAGCTTACATTCCATGAGGACCTCAAAGACCCAAGCTCTTTCTTCACTCACCATCTCTGCACATGGAGTTTCTTAACTCTGCCAGGAATACTACACTATTTCCCCCATTCTTTACAGGGTAACACCTACCAGTCCTCCTGATCTCAGTTTAACACTCACTTTCTCAAAGAGACCATCTATGACCCCTCCTCTTCTCCAGTAAAAATTAGGTTAGCTTGTTAAACCTTCTTCCTTAGTTTTTCTTTGTGGCACTTATCAGTTATAAAGCAATGCTGGTGGGATTATTTAATGCCCGTGTCTGCCATTACATCAGAAAGTTCCGAGAGAGAGGTGATTTGTCTACATTGCTCATCCCACCCCTAACATCATGAGATACAGAAGTGTTCAAAAACATGTGTTGGACGAACATTTCAGTAAGAACTATAGGCAAACAAGCTAAACAGAACAAAATAGAGGATACCTGTACATGTTTTAGAATCAGTTTTTATATAGGGGCCTGCTCATCTGTAGCCAGAATCAGCAATCTCTGAGTTATCAAACTAAATTACACAGTAAACAAAGAATGCATGACAGTGGTAAAGATTAGAAATACTTCCACAATAGGTTATACCCATATTCGGTGTTTAAGTACTGAAATTCTTATTACTGGTTCTTCCATAACACATGAAAACAGTGGTTGAAAATGATACGAAGATCAAGTACAAAAAGGGCCTGACTCCAGGAGGTTAGGAACTCCACGCATTACCCTCTGCATACCTAGCTAATTTAGATGATGGCTCAAGACTAATTCCTGCTGAAACGGGAGCAAATGCAATTTTTATTCTGTTCTCTTAAGAAAAAGCACGGTTAAGTGGGAGGTGCCAGGCTGCAAGAGGACTACTGTCATAACTTCAGAGGCCCCCAAAGCTTACACTAACGTAGAACAAGGCCACCGCATAGAAACTAGCAGCTGCACGTGTGGAAGACACAAATTTTGAGACCTAGGGTCGGCCCAGGTTGCGCTGGCTTCTACCGCGCAAATAGCAGCAGCTGCTCGGGGTGGAAAGCCCGGGGCCCCAAGACCGCTCGTACCTTGCTTGACTCTGGGCTCCCTGGTGCTAGCGGCAGCTGCGGGGGGCGGCCTGGCCACCGGCTTCTTGTTTTGGGCCTCCCCAGCAGCTCCGGCCTCGGCGGATTTGGCTCTGGAAGCAGACACGGCGGCCCGGACCGCCGCGGCCCCGGGCGCCTTGTGTTTCTTGTTCTTGCCTCCCATACTGCATTGATGGCAAAGAGCCCTGCTGCTATAAGTCCCGGAACCACCGCAGCACAGTCTCCAAGTGCTCTTCACATTCCCCGGGTCCCACGCCGCCACCCTGCGTCCTTCATCCGGGCTTCTAGGGCCTGGGCGACCGCTGAATTTCAATTGGTGCGACTCACCAAGGTTCCGCCTCCTCGCCTCCCTCTAGGTGCCTACCGTATGCCCGGCATTCTCGCCGCGCTCCTTCTTTAAGTTAACGAACTGGCCGTCTAGTCGTGGTGGGAAAGGAAAAGTCGGAAGAGAAGAAGTCGAGGAAGAATTCTGGGGGATGGGGTTGCGTGACTAGACTACTTTTGTCTCCCATGGGGTACAGCTGAGGCTTCCCTTGGCGTCATTGTCGGTACGCTCGCAGAGCATCGTGGGTAGGAGGGAGATTCGGTCTCCCAGCTCGGGAAGATGGCGGACGCTTTCGGGGATGAGCTCTTCAGCGTGTTTGAGGACGACTCGGCCACCGCACCCGGAACTAAAAACGACAGAGAGAAGGAGAAGGGGAAATGGAAAGGGCCGCCAGGGTCTGCAGAAAAGGGCGGGTAAGAAAAGTGTCAGGATGTTGTTTTTTTTTTCCTCTTTCCTCATTGCTGAGGGGAGAAAATACAATATTTTTCTGAAGAGCATGAGCAACTGTGGTGCAGACCGAGTGGCATCGGGAAGTGAAGGGTTTTGGGGAGAGTGTTGGTTTGGTGAGTTGGGATTTTGGCGTTCCCCGGTGCCCGCAGACAGCGTGAGCTCCTGCCACAGTAATTCCTTAACGCCTAGGTTGCTGACTCTACCTCCGTGTGCGCCGTGGAGTCGGGAGGACAGGTGAGGTGTATCTGTTGGGTTCTATGGCCCACGATACCTGGCACAGTCTTTAAAGAAACTAATGACCAGTTGAGTAAAGGGTTAAGGAGCTTAGAAAACGTGACTTGAATTGACTTGGAACGGGCAAATCGCAACAGGAGGACTCAGGAGAGATTTAGTCTCCAAGCTGTAGCTTTTTGCCCTTAAAAAAGAACGTGTCTACTACTAAGGTTGTGAGAATTGAATGTGAATGCACCTATGTACAAGCACCTAACAGTGCTTATCACGTGATAGATTCTCAAAAGCTGGCTATCGTTGAGTTTACTAAGAAAATTTTTAAAACGTAATGGTTCCTAAACATATGTACTAGATTGATGCATAGAACTATTGTAAAGTGTACGATATGGTTTATAGTAGAGCAAGGAAAAGCTGATATTTGGATGAAAAAGATGATTCATTCTTAACAAAATTTACTCTTAGCTAAGGGAGATACCCAATAAATAGGATTAAATTAGACATGATTTTTCTCTCAAGGAATTTTTAGTCCTGGTAAAGAGGTAAAACCAGGTACATGTTTTAAAGGTTAGTAGGTGATTGAGATAAAATAAATGTGTATAGAGTTAAGTGCAGTACAGTTCCAAAAGAGATCTCTGTGTCATTCAGGGATTTTTTTTTTTTTTTTTTTTTTGAAAGACAGAGAGAAACAGAGTGCAAGCAGGGAAGGGGCAGAAAGAGAGGGAGACACAGAATGCAAAGCAGGCTCCAGGCCACGAGCTGTCAGCACAGAGCCCGATGCGGGACTTGAACTCACAGACCGCGAGATCATGACCTGAGCCGAAAGTCGGCTGCTCAACCGACTGAGCTACCCAGGTGTCCTTGTCTTTCAGGGATTCTTACATGCAAGAGGCTATTCTGGGGAGAGGAAATGATTTGTTACCGGCGGGCTAGAGGGAGTGTTTGTTTAGGGACAAGAGATAAAACAGAGTAAAAGTTGGTTTTATTTACTGTGAAGGATGTTGAATGTCAAGCATGAGAGTTTTAATTTCATTTTTAATACCACGAATTTTTCCTAACTTGGTGATTGGTTAAGTAGAGTGGTAGTTTAGGAAAATTAATGTGATAGCGGCTGTCAGAGTATGTTGAAGGAGGAAAGATAATAAAAATAAGAAAGCGAATTAGGGAAGTGTTTTAGTTTATTCATTTAGGAGATGAAAAGAACCTCAATTCAGGAGGTAGCAGAAGGAAGGAAAAGGAAAGGTGGAAAATGCTGTGAAGGAAAAAATTGATGTGTGTTAACAATGAAGCAGGTCAGAACAATGGAAAAGGAGTCAAAAGAGATTTTTAAAAAATATTTATTTTGGGGCGCCTGGGTGGCGCAGTCGGTTAAGCGTCCGACTTCAGCCAGGTCACGATCTTGCGGTCCGTGAGTTCGAGCCCCGCGTCGGGCTCTGGGCTGATGGCTCAGAGCCTGGAGCCTGTTTCCGATTCTGTGTCTCCCTCTCTCTCTGCCCCTGCCCCGTTCATGCTCTGTTTCTCTCTGTCCCAAAAATAAATAAACGTTGAAAAAATAAAAATAAAATATTTATTTTGGGGAGAGAGCAAGCAGAGGGAGGGGTGGAGAGAGGAACAGAGGCTCTGAAGCAGGCTCTGCGCTTACTGGCTGACATCAGTGAACCCGATGTGGGGCTAGAACTCACAATCTTGAGATCATGACCTGAGCTGAAGTCGGGCACTCAACCGATTGAGCCACCCAGGTGCCGCGAAAGAGATTTTGAATTTGGATAACAAGAAGAAGAAAAATACGGAAATTTACAGGAGATAGTGATTTGTAAATAAAATTAATTTGACTTGAGACGAAGGAAGTGATAATACTATATCCAAATGGAGGTATCCAGTGGGCAATTTTAATTAGGGTTTGGGCAAACCTTAGAACAGGAGGTTATGTGTACATATAGGGATGTTTGAATTGGTAGTGTTTGAGTTGGAGATCCTTTGGGCAAGTACAGTGATGCTGAAGACAAAGATTAGAGGGATAGCAGAACAATCACTGTAAAATGTCTTGTAAGTGGGAATGAAACAGTAGAAAAATAGTCTTTCTCATTGAGGTAAAAGGAGTTGGGAGACGGTGGGGGAACATTTAAGGGAAAATGAGAAAGACAGGTTCTTGCTTTTATTTTTTTTCCGAATAGGAATAATTAGTAGTTACTGTAGTTTGGGCAACTACAATATAATGAGGATAATACACAAGTAATTTCCCACTTTAGTAAATACTGTGCTTCAAAATTACTAAGGTAAAATTAATTCACTTTGCATTGTACTAGTGGTAAGCTGTTTCCACGAACTTCTAAAGGAAGAGTTTGTAGGATACAAAAATCATCAAATTTACATTTTAATTTTATTAGGAAATATGTGAACATTAGAGAAGGGAAACACATAAGAAAATACAGAACACTAGGGACTTAAGGGATTTTATTTACTAACAACATTCCTTTTTTTTTTTTTTTTTAAGTTTACTTATTTGTTTTGAGAGAGGGTGTTAGTGCACACGAGCAGGGGAGTTGGGGGGCGGGGTGCAGAGGATCCAAATCTGGCTTTGTGCTGACTGCAAAGAGCCCTATGCAGGGCTCGAACTCACAAACCATGAGATCATAACCGGATCCCAAGTTGGGCACTTAACCAACTGAGCCACCCAGGCGTCCCCTGGATTTTCTTTCTTAGGCTGTCATTTAACTAGTTCCTGTATCCTCAAGTATTTACTGTAAATTGTCCTTTTATCTAAAGCTTCACTGTCCACTACGCCACTGTAGCTATTGCATACTTAAACTGTAGCTAGTCAGTATTGAGATAATGCTGTCAATGTAATATGAGATTTTGAAAACCTAATGTAAAAAAAAACCACAAACTGCCTCATGAATCTTTATCTTGATATGTAATGAATTGATAATGTTTTCCATATATTGGATTAAATGAAATACTGTAAAACTGGTTTCTTTTTAACTCTTAATGTGGTTTTTAGAAATTTAGAATTATGTGTGTAGCTTGCATTATATATGTATATATTAGATAGCTCTGATAGAATTGATTAGATTCAGGTTTAGTTTTAGATAGGAATAATTCATAGTGGTGCCATGTACTTCCAATTGCATTGTATCATAAGATTACATCATGAGACATATGTAGTGTTATTCCACACTTTTTAAGATCGATCATTGGCTTAAGATAGATCAATCTTACTCCTCTTCAGCGTTTCACACGATGGGTTTAGCACGCACCTATGTTGATTGCCTAGCTCCATTATTTTGTTGGTGGTTGGCAAAATGGCAGTTTTTCTATTTTTGTCCTTTCTACGTTTATTACCTCACATCCATCTATAAAAAAAAAAAAAAAGAACACTCTCGTACCAGCTGTTACCTTGAAATACAGTGCATAGAAGAAATAGGAAAAATGCTTGATAATTTATCAATTTTAACAGAGATTAGTTGTGTCCTAAGGAACTTCAGTGATGACCAGCATGGGTGTATGATTATGTGTTTAGCTTCTTGATGAATGGATTTTCATGATTTGATGTGTTACACTCCTTTGCACTCATTTTTCTTTATCTTTTTTAAGCTTTATTCGGGTATATTTGAAGTATCCTAGATCACTGCCACAATCAAGACTCCCAAAAGTTCTGCATGCCTTTTTGTGATGCACCCCTCTCTCCAGTCCTCCTTCCAGGCAACCCCTGATCTTTCTGGCACTGGCGAACAGCTTGCATTTTCTAGAATTAAATTTTAAATGAAATACTACAGTATATATTCCTTTTTGGTCTGGTTTCTCATATTCATTGCTTTGAAGGTTCGTTCAGTTGTGGTGTATATCATCAGTTCCTTTTTGTTGCTGAGTGGTGTTCAGTTTTATGGGTATACCATATATGTTTATACCTTTATCTTTTGACGGACATTTGAATCATTTGCATTATTATTTTTCATAGTCCTACCAATGCTAATTCTTCGTGTTGGCTCTTGTCTCCTTTTGACAAGCTTAATCAGTCTTAGATAGCTTCTCTGCTTTTTGCCAAATGATACTCTTGACTCATAGTATACATTTTCAGCCCAGACCTGGAATCTGGTGTCTCCAAAGGGTCTCTAGTTCCTTATAGTGGGAAATGTTCTTTAGGGCTTCGAGTGCTCTTGGGTACAGGATTTCATTGCTTTTAGGTCTTTACTGTGGAAAGAACTGGGGAATCATTGTTTTTAGAAAAAAATAGAGTTCATGCTGACATTTACAATACAATTAATATTATAGGGTCTTTTATTTGGCTTTTTTGGTTTTTATAGTTTTATCCTTTTTTTTTCCTGAAAATGTTCATCCGTAACAATATTACATAAACTTTATTTTATGTATTCTTATAAGATTTAAAAAAATAATAGTGCATAATAATACTGCAATTCAGAATAAAATATTGAATAGATTGTGGTTCTAGTTCATGGTTCTTTTTGTCCTTAGAAAAAATGTAGCACACCAACAGTGAAAATACTCTGTAATAGTTCCTTTTTGAAATGTTTATGCTACTAATTTGATACCTGTTATGTTCACTTGTTTCAACTTATTTTCCATTTTAAGGATTGCTAAAATTTTAATTTTTAAATCATGGTAAAACAGTTTATGGTTCCAAAATCAAAAGTATAAAACAGTATTCTTGATTTTATCTTTGCCTCTTCTGTCCTGTTTGTTCCCTCTCCTTGAGTTTTTGGTTTCTTTTTACTATTTCTTTTTTTAATTTTTTTTTTTTTTATGTTTATTTTTGAGAGAGACACAGAGAGACAGAGCATGAGCAGGGAAGGGGCAGAGCGGGAGAGGGACACAGAATCCGAAGCAGGCTCCAGGCATTGAGCTGTCAGCACAGAGCCCAACTTGGGGCTGAAACTTGGAAACCGTGAGATCATGATCTGAGCTGAAGTTGGACACTTAACTGAGCCACCCAGGCGCCCCTCTTTTTATTATTTTCTTTCTGAAAATACACATGTGCATGTCTGTCTTCACTCATTTTTATGCAAAAGGTGCCATTTAAAACCTGTTCATCTTTTTTCTCTTAACATGATGAAATACAGATACCTCTATGTTAGTATATAGAACTCTTACATTGGGTTATTTTCAGTTTTTTACTGTTACAGATAGCCTTGTACATGTCTGTTTTTGAAATTTTTAAAAATTTTTTGCCATGTAATTTTGGCATAGATTCCTAGTAGAATTATGAGGTTAAAGGGTAAATGTATGTAGTTTTGCTAGGTGTTGCCAAATTCTTTTCCACAGGCGATGCACCTTTGTCTTCAATGGTGTGGCAGGCCGAATGATTCATCTCCCTCTCCCCCTTAATGATGTCCTTGTCTCAATCCTGAGAATAATTGTCAGAATTAAGAAATTAACATTGATACAGTACTATTATCTAATCTATAGACTTAGTTATATTTTGCCAATTGCTTTAATATCCTTTATAAGAAAAGGGTTCTATGTTGGATTCCATGATGTGGTTGTCATGTCTAGAAATAACATATGTTCATGGGGTTTTAGTAATAAAAAACTTACTCTTAAAGGGTAAGCTTGTTATATGTGACACTTTATTTCCATCTTTCTGTTTAACTCAGGTGTTTCAAGGGTGCAAATTCCACATGTGACATACATACCAAGCTGTAAGAGAAATAAATAATTGGGGACCTAGAACTCTAACATAACAGTCTTAAAGAATAATGTAGTTCTTCTGAAGGAAGGTATTCTATAAATTTAGGTTTTAAGTTTCTCAAAGGTATAGGAATTAATTTTTTTGTTTTATGGCTGTCACCAGCTGCTAGTAGGTTTTAAGTGTAGTGGTTTTGTAGATGCTTACTAAATCAGGGTTAGAGTAGTGGAATGTTAGAACTAGAGGGATCTTCAGTATCTTCCAAATGTCTTACTTTACTGAGGACCGAGGATATTGATGGCTTGTCCAAAAGAGATTTATATAAGTAGTTAGCAATAAATAGACTGGGCAAGAATGGTTACCTTTTCCACTAAATTGGGAGGAATTGGGTTTACATATTTCAAGTTTTGCTTAGCATCAAAGAAGAACCTTTGTTAGCAAAAGATTGTTCAGGCATACCTCAGATCATTACCACTATTTGATACTCTTATTTAAAAAAAACAACTTTCTGGGGCGCCTGGGTGGCGCAGTCGGTTAAGCGTCCGACTTCAGCCAGGTCACGATCTCGCGGTCCGTGAGTTCGAGCCCCGCGTCAGGCTCTGGGCTGATGGCTCGGAGCCTGGAGCCTGTTTCCGATTCTGTGTCTCCCTCTCTCTGTGCCCCTCCCCCGTTCATGCTCTGTCTCTCTCTGTCCCAAAAATAAATAAACATTGAAAAAAAAAAAAAACAAAAAAAAACCAAAAAACAACTTTCTAAGTAAAACACAAAAAGAGAAGTGTGAAAGTCCATAAGTTGAATTTTCATAGAATAAACACCAATGTAACCCCCATTTGGGACAAAAACTAGAATATTTCAGACATCCTTCCCCCCATAAAAGTGACTATCTTGATAATGTGTTAGGTTTTTTTTCTGTTTATGACTGTAATGTAAATGGAATCATTTAGAATACATTCCTTCGTGTCTGGCTTTGGCTCAACATTGTTCATAAAATTCATGACAGTAGCTATATCAAGTTGAATGCAGAACCAAATGCAGAGTCCAGATGCATACTTTTAAGCCACACATTAAAGAGATTTGCAAAAATATAAACAATGTCACTCTTCTCATTAAAGACTATTTTTGAAAATACTTATTTTTTTATCAAGTGTCATTTATGTTTAACAGTAATGTTAACATAATGTTAAAATAACATTGTTTCCATCTTAAAATGAATTAATAAGTAAATATTTTAATAAGAAAAAATTTTTCAATATTATTATCTAATGTGGTAAATATCAATAGGTATTACTACATAAACAAAATTCTTTGGAATTAATCATTTTTAAGACAATAAATAATTCTGAGGCCAAAAATTTGAGAGCCACTGATTTGGTATAGTCTATATTTTCCTGATGAGCACTTGTTTTCAGTTTATTTTTGTATGCTTATTGGCCATTTGGATATCCTCTTTTATAAAATACCTGTTGAAGTCTTCTGTTCATTTATTTATTTTTAAATTTGTCATCTTCACTCTATTTTAGTTACATAGCTTTTGTCAGTTATATGTGGTTCAGATATCTTCTTCCACTCTTTTGTCTTGCCTTTTTATTCTCTTAATTATATATAAATATATATATGTATACATACATATATATATGTATGTATACATATATATATGTGTGTGTGTATATACATATATACATATATATATATATATCTTTTGGTCGTCATCTTACCCTTTATTAAAATAGTTTACTTTGGGGGCGCCTGGGTGGCGCAGTCGGTTAAGCGTCCGACTTCAGCCAGGTCACGATCTCGCAGTCCGTGAGTTCGAGCCCCGCGTCAGGCTCTGGGCTGATGGCTCAGAGCCTGGAGCCTGTTTCCGATTCTGTGTCTCCCTCTCTCTCTGCCCCTCCCCCGTTCATGCTCTGTCTCTCTCTGTCCCAAAAATAAATAAACGTTTAAAAAAAAAAATAAAAAATAAAATAGTTTACTTTGTAGTTCTTAACTAGCTGGGCATTCCACTGCACCACTATTGATGTCATCTATGATGTCATGAGGGTGGCGGCCATCAACATTGCAGCCTACAGACTGAGTGGTCCCCAGAATCTCTTTAATAGTTCCAGAGAGTTCCCTGGCTAATGATCCATGCCGCATCTCTCAGGCAATGTTGACAATCTCATCAAAAGTGGTATTTCCACTGTGCTTAATGTTTTTCTGCTGCTTTCTGTCTCTTGGACGTTCCTTGAGGGCTTTGATAATCAGGGCGGAGGCAGAAGGTACCACTTCAGTCTGGGCCTGTCTGTTCTGAATGGTCAGTTTCACTGTAATCCTCAGACCCTTCCAATCACCAGTTACCTTGGCAATGTCATCACCAACCTTTTTACTCTTAATGATATTTTTTGATTAACAGAAATTCTTGGTTTTAGTTCACTCTGATTTATCAAACTTAATTTTTGGTTAATAATTTTATGTACTGTTTAGTAAAATATAAAAATAATTCTCTCATTTTATCTTCTAGAGGCTTTGTTGTTTTGCCTTTCACAGTTATATCTAAAATCCACATGTAATTGATTTTTGGATGTAAAAGCATGTGGGTCAGATTAAATTCCCCTTGGCTTTTTAGTCCACCAAGTGCCATTTATTGTCATTACTTTTGACCAATGAATTCAACCACAAAAAATATTCTCTAACTGTAATATTTTGGTAAAAGCAAAAGTATTAAATGTTTATTGAAGGTCCTCTTGTATGTAAATGTTTAACATTATTTTAATTCATGGTTTTTAAAAATATTAAGTTAGTGTGAGCTGTAAAATATTTTTAAAGCAAAACTTCCAAGAAACTTTGAAATATCAAAGGAGTGATATTCAGTTTTATTAGGGTATTCTGGGCTTTAGCCAGTTTTGATTTGTTTCATCTCCTTCCATGCCTTTTTCTGTTAATGACATATATAATACATGGAGTAATATTTTATGGAATCATCCTTAAAGTAAAAACTGCAGAACTGATTTTTAACCATTTACTTTTCAGGAAACGTTTTGATGGTAAATTACAATCGGAGTCAACTAATACTGCAAAAACCAAGAGAGATGCAGATTTTGAGGGCACAGATGAACCCATATTTGGAAAGAAGCCTAGGGTGGAAGAATCAATAAATGAAGATTTAAGGTAGTATTCCCATTGGCATAAATGTCAGTAACTCTTAAATGGTTGCGTGAAGTTTTGAAAATTACTTAAATGATGCTACTTTATGAAAGTGTTAAATTCAAGAAATGAAAAATATATTTTAGATATATATTCATACAAAAATATAGAACATCTGTATAAGTTTGGGGAAATGGAAGACAACATAGAAGAGTCATCTTTTAATGTTTTAGAATCCAACTTGTGAGAAAGAATCGTGAAGCCTGATTTTTTTTTTTAAGAAAAAAACCCCACATTTCCTTTATTTATTAATGTCAAAGAATAGGATGGAACACAGAGAGTGGAATAAATGGAAAGAATAAAACTGACCCAATGGAAAAAGTAATTGAAAAGGAATGTTAAGAGGAATTAGATTTTTACTGTTACGTGTTAGAATAGCGTGGCTCTGAATCTCAAGACTGCTATCAGTGAGGGAGACCATGGATTTCTCTGACTGAAATAGCTGGTATTTCTCTTTATAAAAGTTGGTGTCAGTTACTTAGGTTAACCTGTTTGTTATTGTGTGATGGATCTTCACAGCTTTACTTCTTTCTTCTTGTATGCCATATTTTGGCTTGGCACTACCATGAAGAATTTACTCTGAATTTTTTAAACTAGTTAGCTGTTGTAGTTAGCAGAAGTTACTACTGTGTATGGTGGTAGATGTGTTGCTGAAATATTTCTGATACACCGTTTTCCAATGCTAGTGGAATAGGTTACAGTATAATAGTGGCAATTTAAAATCATTGTTGCTTATTATAGTAACCCTTGGGTTTTGTTCAAAGTATGATTGGTTATTGATTTAAATAAAAATCAAAAGTAAATAAGAATAATCTAGTATAAAAATACATCTATTTTTCTTTACTTTGTCCACAGTCATGTCCTTTCAGAATCTAAACAGAACCTAGATGAGTATAACTTAAGATTTTGAATAGGGAACACTTCTGTTAATTATAGCAATGTCTGTATTAAGCTAGTTTATTTTGTACTCTCTATCATGTGTAATGGTTTTTATAACGAGCTTCGTGTTTTGAAGTAGTGACGATGCTTTGGAAGGGGTACTTTTTTTTTAAATAGTTACTGGAATTCAGCTGACATAATTCTTTGAGTAATCCACTTGGCATCTGTTCTGTATTTGTAAAATAGATGTTAACTGATTTTGAATTCTCAGCCTATATTTGAATAATGTGAAAACTTTTTTGAATATTCTTAATAGCCAGATTTTTTCCAATTTGTAATACTCATAATTAGGCAGTGTCCTTTTCCTTAGCAATTCATACAGGAGGCTTATTATCTAATCATAGAAAAATAATGTATTTTAACACAGCTTTAATACTTTTTTTTTTTAAGTTTGGCTGACTTGATGCCCAGAGTCAAGGTACAATCAGTTGAAACTGTTGAAGGGTGTACACATGAGGTAAGCACAAACAGTATATGGAAATTGGTGTTACAAATGGAAGTTTGCTTTGGACTATCTATTATGATCAGCAAGCCATTTAGCCTCAGGGGCTTTGGAAACAATTACAGTTTCTGTAGGGTATATAGTCAGGTGGAAGGAGCTGGGGTTTTGTATCCTAACCTGAGCTAGTATCCTGAACAACACTTTATCTTGAACAGCACTTTATCTAACTACAGTCTTGGATAAATTTCTTAACCTTTTTTTTTTTAATGTTTGTTTATTTTTGAGAGACATAGAGACAGGGCACGAGGGGGGAGAGGCAGACACACAGAATCCAAAGTAGGCTGCAGGCTCTGAGCTGTCAGCACAGAGTCTGATACGGGGTTTGAACTCATGAACTGTGAGATCATGACCTGAGACAAAGTTCGATGCTTAACCAACTGAACCACAAGGCGCCCCAAATTTCTTAACCTTTTTGACATTGTTTTTAAAAATTTTTAAATTTGGAATAATGTGTTGGTTGTGAAGATTATAGAAGAAAATTAGTGTAAGGTACCCAGCACAGAGTAGGTGTTCAATACCCATTCATCCCCTTACTCCTAAAGTCAAGTAACAGTGCCATTTTATAGGTCACATGCTTTTTTATGTCCTGCTCTGGTTACTGATACATTGCAATTTCATTATTCGCCACAAGGTGGTAACCACTGATAGCTTGTAGTACCCCTTTTAGAAGAATTTATAAATATAAGGGACTAAAAAACGTTAAGAGAACTGTAACACTCTTTATACTAATAAAATCTTATTAAAAGTCTTTATTGAATGAGCAGAGTAATTCCGAATTAAAATGGCTTTTGATAAACATTTATAACCTTATTTTTTTAAATACCTGTTTTTTAGCACTTGTTTCTATGAGTTCCTTTGTATTCCTTTAGAATAGCACTTAGTTTGGAATTTGTAGTACCCATTTGATCATTCAGTACTTATGTTAGACCCTATTCATTGCTCTGGTATTAAAAAAGATGAGGGGAGGGAGACCACACAATTTGCTCTTAAGAGGTCACAAGTTCTTGTTGTCCTTCACAATTCTCCACAATCCCTCCTTCTGTCACTTCTCAGTTTTTTAGCAGCTAACTTTACCTTTTACTTCATTTAGAGGGTTGAGGCTATCAAATTGGAGTGTCCTCTGTTTATAACCTTCTTCACCAAGCCTGTTCACACCTGTCCTGTCCACTAAAAGGAAAAGGCAATGCTAAGGAGGCTTGTTCAGCTAGTGTTCTTGGTTGTAACTTGTCATGCTTTCACAATGACCTAGAAGCCTTCATTTTCCCTTGTTTCTAGAGTTGAGTCTCTTCTGTATTTGCCCTTCCCTATCAGCATGTGAATATTCAGAAGATTCTCTTATTCTAGGTTGCTTTTCAGCCACTATGTTGTTTTTTTTCCCCTTTTGTGGTCATTCAATCAGTATATATCTTTAGAGTGCCAGGAACATTGTATTATTCACTAAGTATAAAGAAATAGAAGAGATGTGGTCCCTTACTTTTGAGAGTTGCTACTGAGTGCTCTGCTAGGAAAATCCCTGCTAGACTTTCTAACTTGCCATTCATTTTTATAAATACACTATAATTAGATTTCTTCTTTCTCCATTTCTTTCAAACTGTTGTCACAAGAATCACCAATGACTATTTAGTATGTCTGTTTGACTCAATCATTTTGCTGGTTTTTTATTTATCTGACTCCTTAGTCTCTCTTTCCTACCATTACACGTTAGTGTTACCCAGACTGTTCTCAGAGAATAAAAACAAAAACTTTTTGATTTTTATACATGTGAAACATAACCTATTATTCTTGCTGCTGTTAAATCTTGCAGAAGCTAAAATCTTAATTGCTTCACATTGATGTTCTTGGTTCATGTCATAGAAAGTACCAAAAGAGATGTGAGAGGGTCACTCAACTGATGAGATACAGCCATATAGGTTAATCATATCTTAATGGGGATCATAACATGATTTGGAGTCTAGGCTTCAGATTTTCAGATCCAGAAATTTGATTTTCTCAGTGTACCAACAGTTGTGCTTTCTTGGATAGACTCACTTTTGTTATATTCATAAGAGATGGAGGTATACAAAAACATGTCATTTCCTTAATTTAAAGCATAAGTAGTTGTCTCACTATCAAACTACCTGTAAATTTCTTAGAATCCTAATAAAGGGGAATATACAGTATTAAGGGAAAGACTAGTGAAAACTATTCTGTCCCCCAGAAGTATTCATTCATTAATAAAAACACTTGATAAGTGTTTCTTAATGTATGCAGCATAAAATACCACAGTCTTACTTATCTCACCTTTATAGATTCCATTTAGAATGTCACAGTCCTTCTAACACATTCATTATACTGGGTATTACTATTCATTAGGTTTCATAATTTACTAAGTTTCACTATTTTAAATTACGATCAGAGTCTAGTTATTCATTTTTTAAATACAATCCACATTGTGGTTATATGTTTGACCCTGAGCAACAGGAGTTTGAATACAGATTTTTTTTTTTTTTTTTTTTTAAAGTAAGCTTCATGCCCAGTATGGAGTCCAACTTGGGGCTTAAATTCATGACCCTGAGATAAGAGTCAGATGCTTAACTGAGCCACCCAGGCGCCCCTAAATGTGGACTTTTTTTTTTTGATAAATACAATACTGTAAATATATATTCTCTTCCTTAGGGTTTTCTTAATTTCATTTTCTCTAGCTTACTTTATCAAAAGAATACAGTATAAAATACATGTATATAATATGTGTTAATCAACTATATTACCAGTGAGGCTTCTGGTTAACAGTAGGCTACTGATAGTAAAGTTTTAGGGGAATCAGAAATTACACGTGGATTTTTGACTGCATGGGGGGGTGGGGGGGGTGTTGCCCCAAACCCCATGTTCACGGGTCAGCTGTAATTGAGTTGGAAATTTACTGAAGATTTCTTAGTATTTCTAAGGTGGGTAATCTCATGTAATACTTGCTTATTTAGGTTTTGCTCTTATAAATTATTTCTAATTTTAGTGTGTACCTTATTTTGCCCCTGTGCATTATTTAAACACTAAATGGTTTAATTCTTAGGAATTTAGATACATTATGAACGGCTGCTCTCCAGATCTTTTTTTTTTTTTTTTACACTTTTATTTCAGAGAGAGTGCGAGTGCCCACACAAGCTAGGGAGAGGGGCAAAGGTAGGGAGAGAGAGAATCCCAAGCAGGCTCTTTGCACAGCATGAGCCTGACACAGGTTTCAGAGAGAGGGAGAGTGAGTACCCACACAAGCTAGGGAGAGGGGCAGAGAGAAGGAGAGAGAGAATCCCAAGCAGGTCTATGCACAGCATGAGCCTGACAGAGGTGTATCGATCCCACCACCCTGGGATCGTGATCTGAGCTGGGTTGGGCACTCAGCTGACTGAGCCACCCAGTTGCCCCTGCTCTCCAGATCTTAACCTTTACTGGAGGAAAAGAAAGTTTCTGCTTTAGGAAATATGGAGTAGTATTTTATTCTACATGGTTTTCTTTCATGTGGCAGCATCTGTTTTTATGTCCACTTAGCTTTTTTGAGCATTCCTTAATATTAGGCAGTACATTACATGTGGAAAATACAAAGATAGCTAAGATAGGTCCTAGACCTTAATAAACACAATTTCTTTAGGGAAATGGACTTAAAGGGTTTTAATCCCCTTACCGTTAGATAAACATAAGTAGAGGTTTTTTGATTATTGTAGCTTTAGCATTTGTCTTGTTGTTAAAAGCAGTTATTTAATTTTATAGTGTCTAAGACTGTAGCAGACCCTATCACTTGTAGTTTTCAAGCCAGCATTAATTATGGAATGTTGAATGTTCATCAGTTCTCGAATAGTAAGTTGGTGATTTTTGTTTTAACATTAGGTTGCACTTCCTGCAGATGAAGATTATTTACCACTTAAACCTCGCGTTGGAAAAGCTGCAAAGGTCTGTACTTTGGGCAATACAGTTTGTACAGTTTTGTGTCTCTTTTCTAAAAATCTTAAAGATAAATTCTTTCAAATGAGATTTTTATACTTCCCAGTGTGTGTATACCAAGAAGAAGCTACCTGAAGTCAAATATAATGAGAACCAAATCAGTAAACTACCATGAAGAAAATCATGAATGATGTAATGAGATTTTTAAAAATGAAAGTAATGATTCTCCACATTCTTAAAGAATTTAATGAAAAATATATCAATCTTTCTTTAGAAAAAAAGCATGTGTGCAATGTCATACATATAGTTTGAGAAGTTTAACAAGCTTTTAATGAAACTTAAACTCTAATGCTTATGTTAAATGGATTTTGAAGTACTGGTAGACCTTAAATGATAATTCAGATTTTCAGAGTCATTTTTCTCTAAATGAAAAATGGAGCATTTCTTTAAGTCTAGTAGATGTATTATTCTGCCTCTGCTGAGGGAACTTAAGTGAACTCGAGCTGAGTTCCCATCTGAATGGAAAGAATACCTATTTTAGGGGTTGCTGTGAAGGTTAATAATGTATGGAAAATGTGTTGCACAGTGCCTACCACAAAACATGTTGACAAATGGCAGTGTTACTCTGTTATAACTAATATAACGTGTATGTTAGCATAGTAAATTGAAAGATAGCAGAATTAGCTTCTGTGCTGTTTAAAGGTGTTTTTTTAGTCTTCCTAATTTTCTCTGGTGGGTGGCATAATTTTTAAATAGAATCATAAAGAAGTGTTCCCAGAATGCTTCTGTGGGGGCTAGCATCTCTTGATTTTAAGTGTGTTCTGATATGGCTAGATATTTTCATGCCAATACTATTTTTTTCTTTTATAGGAATACCCGTTCATTCTTGATGCTTTTCAAAGAGAAGCCATTCAGTGTGTTGATAATAATCAGTCTGTTTTAGTATCTGCACATACATCAGCAGGAAAAACTGTATGCGCTGAGTGAGTAGCTTTCTATTTAAAGGAAATCTTAGGCCTGTTAATATTTGTTCCTATGCTGGTTTCTGATGTTATATTCTCTTGTTGGATTGACTCCTTTATTATTATATAATCTTTTTTTATTTCTTATTATAGTCTTCGTTTTAAAGTCTATTTTGTCTGATCTGAGTGTGGTCTTCCCTGCTTAATTTTGGTTTCCATTTGCATGGAATATCCTTTTCCCGTTCCTTTACTTTCAGTCTGTGTGTGTCCTTATATCTGAAGCGAGTCTCTTTAGGCAGCATATAGCTGAGTTTTGTGGTTTTTATTCCATTCAGCTATTCTGTGTCTTTTTATTGGGGAATTTAGTCTATCTACATTTAAAGTAATGATAGATATGTACTTATTGCCATTTTATTGTTTTTTGGCTGTTTTGTGTTCCTCTGTTCCATTCTTGTTTTACTGTGTACTTTTTAAAAGAATTTTTGAAATAACTTTATTTTTTAATCTCACCCTTTACAAGTTTAAATTTTGGGGCTCCTGGGTGGCTCAGATGATGATTAAGCATCTCACTTCAGCTCAGGTCATGATCTCTGGGTTCATGAGTTTGTACCCCGCGTTGGGCTCCCTGCTGTGGAGTGGCTCCCACAGAGCCACTTCAGATCCTCTCTCCCCCTCTCTCTGCCCCTCCCCTGCTAGCATGCTCGCTCGCTTGCGCTCTCTCTCCCTCAAAAATAAATAAAAACTAAGAAAAAAATTCTTTTTACTGTATAAATTTTTTTGATTTTTGCAAGTAAAGACAGTTTTACTTCTTTCTATTTTAAATACTTTTACTGTCTTGCTTTATTGAACTGACTAGCACAGCCTAGTACAATGTTGAATGGAAGAGATGAGAGAGGACATCCTTGCCTTTTTCCTGGTATTAAGTCTTCATCAGCATGTTGTTATCTATAGGTTTTTCTCAGATGCTTTTTATCATTTTAAGGAAGTTCACTTCTGAGTTTGCTTGTGTGTGTTTATATGCCTATAGAATATTTTGCTATTGTATTTTGTCCAATTTTTTTTCTGTTACTATAATGAATACATTAATTTTCAAATAATAAACCAGTCTGAGATAAACCACAAGGTTACGATACATACGCTTGTAATAAATAGCAGTATTGTGATTTATAAGATACATATTTAGTCATTTTGATGACCAAATACATGTTTCTTGTATGTATTTAGTCTTCATCCATGGTTCCTGGGTCAAGACTTCTAAAACCCTTGGAATTTCATGTGATAAGAGCAATAAAGGTCTTTTGTTACGTTTTAATGAGTTGACTTTGGATGGACTGGTTGCCAGGAGAACCAACTATGTGATCCCTGTAGAGTAGAGGGAAGAGGGCTGAGGGTTGAATCAGCCACTGACCAATGATTTAGTCGTGACTGTGATGTGAAGCTTCCATAAACCCAAAAGGACTCAGGTCAGTGAGGTTCCAGGTTGGTGAACATGTGCAGATGTTCTGGGAACAGATGTTCCAGAGTAGTGCACACCTGGATAGGAACGGCACTGGGAGATCTTCATCCTTTCCCCATACCTTGCCCTGTGTATTTCTTCATCTGGTTGTTGTGTATCCTTTAATATAATGGCAAATATAATTAGTATATTTACTGAGCTCTGTGAACTGCTCCAGCAAATTAATCTGTACCAAGGAGGAAGTTGTTGGAACCCTCTATCTGAAATCACTTGGTCAAAAGCACAGGTATCTGGCCTGGAGCTTGCTACTGGCATCTGAAGTGGGGGCTGGAGGACAGTGTTAACTGAAACCTTAATATGTAGAATCTGTTGCTATCTCTGGGGAGTGTCAGAATTTAGTTGAATTCTCAGACACCCTGCCAATGCCTGAGAATTGGTTGGTGGTGTGAGTGGGGGACCCTCTCCCATGTTTGAATTGGGTCTAGGAATCCCCCCAAAATTCATGTTGGTAGATCATTATTGGATTAGATTTGCTTAAATTGTGGTAAGAATTTTTGCTTCTGTTCATGAAGGATGTTGGTCTGTAGTTTTATTGTAGTATCTTTTTTTGGTTTTGGTATCAGGGTAATGTTATCTGTTTTTTTTACAGATTAGTCTGCTAAACTGATGCTGTCTGAACAGCATCATTTTTCTTCTTAAAGAAACACTTTTACATTTAATGGTAGCACAAATCTCTTGATGAAAAATTCTTTTAATTTTTTCTTTCTTTTGGTAAAGATTTTATTTTTAAGTAATCTCTCCATCCAACGTGGGGCTCAAACCCCCAACTGCAAGATACTAGAGTTTCATGGTCCTCCAACTGAGCCAACCAGGTGCCACTCTTCCACCTTTTGTATATCTAAAACATCTTTTACTTTGCCTTCATTTTTGACAGATACTTGCAGTCAATAAAGAATTCTAATTCCTCTAAGAGTACTTTTTGACTTGCATAGTTTATGACAGGAAATCCCTGTCATCCTTACCTTGTTCCTCTGCAGATAATGTATCATTTTTTTCTTGGCTACTTTTAATTAAGATTTTATCTTTAACAGGGTTTTAAGCAGTTTATTTATTTTTAGAGAGAGAGAGAGGAGAGCATGAGCTCTGGGGAGAGGGGCAGATGGCGAGAGAGAATCATAAGCAGGCTCCATGCTCAGTGCGGAGCCATGCTCCATCCCATGACCCTGGGATCATGACCTAAGCAGAAATCAAAATTGGGCACTCAGCCCACTGACCCACCCAGTCACCCCTTAACCAATTTATAAGGAGGCTTGATGTAGTTTTTTTCATGTTTCTTGGACTTTGGGTTTGTTTTTCCATGTTGCCTCTGGCTTCTCTTCTTTAAGGTCTCTGATTACTATTACGTTGGGCTACTTAAAGTTGCCTCATGATTCATTGATACTGTGTTCATTTTGGGCCTCTTCTAATGCTGTATCTTCCAATTCATTAATCTTTGCTTCTGCATTGTCTAATATGTCATTAATCCCATTCCATGTATTTTTATCTCGGATGTTGTTATTTGTTATTAGCTCAGATTTTCCTTGCTGGAAGTTTATTTTTATGTGTGGTGGTTTTTTTTGTTTTTTGTTTTATTTCCCATTTGTCTTCTTACTACTTAACTTTTTTTTAGCTTCTTGAACATGTGGAATACTGTTTACAAACTGTTTAAATGTCTTTGTTACTGCTTTTTTCATTTGTGTTACTTCTAATCTGTTTTGATTGACTTTTCCCTGCGTTATAGGTCCATATTTTCCTCCTCCTGCGTATTGTTTTGATGGAATGTTTGGCTGTTGTTAATTTTCATCACTGTCTTGGAGGAGTTTGATTATGATGTGACTTTACATAGTTCTTCTCATGTTTCTTGTGCTTGAGTTTGTTGGGCTTCTCAGATCTGTAGGTTTATTATAGTTTTCATCAAATTTGGGATAATTTCAGCAATTTTTTATTTCAAACATTCCCCATCCTCCTTTTTCCTTGGGATCTTCACTTAAACTTGTATCATGCCACTTTAAGTTGTCTCACAGCCCACTTACACTCTGTTTATTATTATTTTGTTTTTTGGAGTTTATTCTGTGTTTTTCACTTTGGACAGCTTTTCTTGTTAGGTCTTCAAGTTTATTCATCTTTTTTTCCGCCATGTCTAATCTGATTTTAATTCTATCCAGTGTATTTCAAATCAGACAATGGATTTTTCATCTCTACAAGTTTGATTTGGGTCTTTTAATTTTTTCCATTGTTTTTTTTCTTACTGCTTTGTCTTTGTCATTCAGTTTGATAATGTTTCTAGGTGTGATTCTTTTTCATTTTTCCCGCTTGGGTTTATTGTATATGTCACATCTGTAGATTAATATTTTTCTGTTTAAAACAAATTTAGGAATTTTCTCACTGTTATTTTTTCACATAGTTTTTTCTTCTTCCTCACTTTGAATCTTCCACTGGGACACTGAGGTTGTTTCTTTTCCTTTCTTTAGATTTGATAATTTTTGTTGATCTATCTTCATATTTACTGATACTTTGTTCTGTCATCTCAAATCTGCTCTTGAACCCATCTAGTGAATTCTTCATTTCAGTTATTATACTTTTCACCTGTAGGGTTTTCATTTATGTATAAGTATAAACACAATATCTCTCTGTTCAGATGGCCTGTTTATTGAATAATTACCCTCTATTTCCTTTAATTCTTAGAATATGGCTTCCTTTCATTTTTTGGACTGGTTTCTGGTAGCTGCTTTGAAGTCTGTGTCTGCTAAGTCCAATATCTGGGCCCACTGAGAATTAGTTTCTCATGACTGCTTTTTTCCCTAAGGATGGATCATACTTCCCTGTTTCTTTTATCTTCTAATGTTTTGTTCGAAAGTGGACATTTTAGATAATATATTGTAGCATCTCTATATCCTTTTTTCTTTCATATCTTTCTCAAAGTTTGTGTTTGATCATGTTTGGATAGCTTTTAATTTTTTGTTTATTTAACTATTTGAGAAATATGGTTATATGGTTGTGATATTATTATTTCCTCAAATAGGTTATAAGCCTTTTGTGGGCCAGACTGTGTTTTTTTTTGTTTTTGTTTTTGTTTTTTTTATTTTTTTATGTTTATTTATTTTTGAGACAGAGAGAGACAGAGCATGAATGGGGGAGGGTCAGAGAGAGAGGGAGACATAGAATCCGAAGCAGGCTCCAGGCTCTGAGCACAGGCTCTGAGCCTCAGCACAGAGCCCGACGCGGGGTCGAACCCACAGACGGTGAGATCATGACCTGAGCCGAAGTCGGACGCTCAATCGACTGAGCCACCCAGGCGCCCCCAGACTGTGTTTTAAACAAGAAGACTCTACCACAATGCTAACTTTAGTCATCATGGTCTATATTTAAATACTTAATTAAATTTTCTTTGGAAAACCAAAACTACTTTATTGCATTTTGTTAATAGCTATGGAGGAACTTTTCCATAATTAGACCTATCATAATTCCAGGCAAGGACTGATTTGATATCTATTACATGTGGGAATGAATACATATGGATGAACTTATTTTTGAAACTCTAAAGAGCAAAGCTCATTTTCCAATGTTCAGTAATTGTTCATGCTCTATATGTGTATAAACAGACAGGCAGAGGGGCGCCTGGGTGGCGCAGTCGGTTAAGCGTCCGACTTCAGCCAGGTCACGATCTCGCGGTCCGTGAGTTCGAGCCCCGCGTCGGGCTCTGGGCTGATGGCTCAGAGCCTGGAGCCTGCTTCCGATTCTGTGTCTCCCTCTCTCTCTGCCCCTCCCCCGTTCATGCTCTGTCTCTCTCTGTCCCAAAAATAAATAAACGTTGAAAAAAAAAATTTTTTTAAACAGACAGGCAGAGGCTCTCAACTTTTGGAGGCTCATTTATAGAACCAAAAGTGTTTTACTTGGAAGAAATAGGGTAACCATTAGTAATCTTTTGGTATTAATAATTAAGTTGCATTAACTCCAAGAGACCAGAGTTAAAATTAAATATTCTTGTTTGGTTAGACCACTACATTTCAGATTTATTATAATAATTATTATTTTAATAGTTTGTTAGTAGTGGTTAGAACAAGATACTCATGTTCTGCCAAGTCCATTGAAAATAAGTAATTAGGGGAAGTTGTGACAATTTATATATTAACAGAATTTTTAAATTACATACTTTAAAGAAAAGGTTTTGTAAATACTTGATTCTTATTTGCTTTCCCATTTCTAGGTATGCCATTGCATTGGCCTTAAGGGAAAAACAGCGTGTAATATTCACCAGCCCAATTAAGGCTCTGAGTAACCAGAAATACCGAGAAATGTATGAAGAGTTTCAAGATGTTGGTTTGATGACTGGAGATGTTACTATTAATCCTACAGCATCTTGTCTTGTTATGACCACAGAGGTAATTTATATGGTGCCTCATCCAGTCTTTCCTTTTAAATTTAATTAATGTATTTATTCACTGAGAACACCTAATGCGTTTTACTTGCTCTATATAAACAAAATGTAATGCTTTATTTTCTGAGATTTACTTGACAGGGAAAAAAGTTCATCTTAAAGGTCTATTTTTAGTAATTACATAAATTTAGTTGTAAATTTTAATATTTCTATTATTTGTCATATGATATAGATTTTTTTCACCAAATATTTTTATTTTTAATTTAAAAACGTTATTTTTTGAGAGAGAGTGCACTCGCAAGCAGGGGAGGGGCGGAGAGAGAGGGAGGGAGAAAATCAAGCCGGCTCCACACTCAGCACAGAGCCAGTAGTGTGGCTTGATCTCACAAACGTGAGATCATGACCTGCACTGTAATCAAGAGGCAGACACTGAACTGACTGAGCTCCCCGGGTAGCCCCGTCAATTTGTTTTCATGTCACTGACAATAAGTCTTTAAAACTATTTGGTGAGGGGCACCTGGGTGGCTCATTCGGTTAAGCCTCAAGACTCTTGATTTCGGTTCAGGTTATGATCTCATTGTTTGTGAGGTCCAACCCCTCATGGGGTTCTGTGCTGACAGTGAGGATCTGCTTAGGAGTCTCTCTCTGCCCCTCCCCCGCTCTTACCTGTGTGTGCGCTCTCAAAAAATAAACGTTAAAAAAAAGAATATAGAGTTTTGTATACATAGTTTCATATAAGTAGTGGCTTTTCCTTCCACTTTTTATTTTTGTATCTTAGTGTTGATACAAATACATAAATAAGTTCTTTTAAAATGTCCAGTTTAGTTTCCTCCCATAATAGCAGTTAAGTTTTACTTAAAACCTATGTGTTTATATCTTATGTTTTGAATACAATCAGTTATCTTTGCTATACCAAGTACTTTCATACATACTTGATTTATATCCCTGCATTTTATAAGGACATGGTACAACAGAGTGTAAATTAGCTTCTGGTCTGCAGAGTCAACCAAAAACATTGCTCACTTTTCATTTTGGTTCCCAAAGTAAGTTTCCATTCTCAAAACTTTTTCCCATGTGTGGAAGATTTTCTTTAACTCAAAAATCAGGATACTGGTTGCCAGAGAGCATCCATGTTGTGAGATGAAGTAGAAAAAATCAGTAAACAGCATAAGTTACCATGAGTTGGATAGAAGATAATTTTAAGTTACTCTCATATGCTACATAGTGTGGATCTTGTGATGAGTGTTGTATGTACAATGAAGTGGCTTCATACTTGAGATATATGGAAATAGGAGTGATAATTCTCTCCATGGATTGTACCTGATTACTAACTATTGAAAAGCCATTTATTTTGGTTTTATGAGAGAAGGAATATTATTTGATTTATGAAATGTATTTAAGATGTAATCTCCTAAAATTATTTTAATACTTCTATTAAAAAAGCATTTCTAAAATTTCTTGTTAGAAAGAACTTGTGTCACAATTTTGTGAAATCATTTATATTTTTTTAGATTTTGAGAAGTATGCTGTACAGAGGTTCTGAAGTTATGCGAGAAGTTGCTTGGGTCATATTTGATGAAATTCATTACATGAGAGATTCAGGTATATTCTGCCATGTTGTTGAGATGTGTGCCATGTATTTTCCTTAAGAAGGGCATTAGGAATTTTGAAGAACTAGTTAAATTTTGCTTTGAATTTTCATGTGGCTAGAGTTCTAATAGATTTTCCACTACACTGTGAGAAACATGATATAATACTTCAGATAGGATCTTATTTAACTTTAGTTTCTTAAATAGTAATCAGGTAAGAAAAAGTGCAAATTCATACAAAACAATTGGAATTAAAACTAGTTTGTTTTTAATAGAGAATGCTCCAAAATAACTGTTAAAGAATTTTTAAAACTTTTAGCCTACAGAGTTAACTTTCTTGATTTTTCGTTACTATTTTAGTTTTTAAAAACTAAGAAATGCATGGTTATGGTAAAAAAAAAATACTAAGGATTATGAAATAAAAATGAGAAAAAATTATAATTATCCCTTTACTTGAACTATTACACTATTGTAAGGACTCGTAGGTATACTTGGACTTTTGAGTGGAGCTGGGAGGGCTAATGGTTACTTTTAAAAGTTAAATATTTAGTATGTACACAATTAAAGTAAAATTCAGTTTTTATTTAAACTAAAACTCTGAGTTAACCTGTATTTGTAGTGCAAGTAACAAATTCATAAAAGTAAGTTTTGAATAGGTCTGTTTTGGTTTTAAAATTCTGAATCCTGGGGGTGCCTGGGTGGCTCAGTCAGTTGAGTGGCTGACTTCAGCTCAGGTCATGTTCTCATAGTCCGTGAGTTTGAGCCCTGCGTTGGGCTCTGTGCTTACAACTCAGAGCCTAGAGTCTGCTTTTAATTCTGTGTCTCCCTCTCTTTCTGCCCCTCCCCTGCTTACTCTGTCTGTCTCTGAAAAATAATAAACATTAAAAAAAATTTTTTTAATAGAATTCTGAATCCTGTATTGATACATTTATTTTAGAGGAAAATTCTCACGCTGATTTTTTTTTCCATTTAAATAAAAACTGACATGATTTTACTGCTCATTAAATCTTTCATATCTAGAGATCATGAGGGTAATTTGGATGAAAGTTGCCTTAGAGTAAAGTAACAGTGTGTCTTTGAAATTTGTTGCTGTATAACTTTTCTAAAAGTTATTAACTTTGTTTTCTCAAAATGAAATGGAAATACTGTTTCCATTGTCATGGGACTCTTATGCTGTGTGAGAAGGTTCAGTCTGGAGCTACTCCAGAGGCTGTAATTGTAGAGTACATTGTGCTTTTAGTGATTTAGTCTCCCACTTTTCTACTGGGTAAATTCACGGTAAGAACCATAGTAGTTTTCAGTAGGGATTTGTAGCTAAAAATATTTGTGTAAAGTGGCCTGCATTTCTAATTAATGAGCTTGGGATAAGATAATTTTAGATTACTTACCAATAAAGTGACTCTGAATTCCAAGGTATATTTGTTTTTTTTTTTCAGAGCGTGGTGTTGTATGGGAAGAAACTATTATTTTGCTTCCTGACAATGTCCACTATGTCTTTCTTTCGGCTACTATTCCAAATGCCCGACAGTTTGCTGAATGGATTTGCCATTTGCATAAACAGGTATTTTCTTTGTTTTTTGAAGTCTTCAATACTTAAAACGTTAAGTTGTGATTGCTATCTTATATACTTTGTTCTTGATACCGCCCTAGAATTAAGAAAAGCTTTTAATGTGAAATTACTTCTCAAGTCAAGCAAGCTCATCAGAATCAACTGACTAGCTTTTTACAAGTGTGTATTTTTTTTTTAAGTTTATTTATTTATTTTGAGAGAGACAGAGCATGAGTGGGGGAGGGGCAGAGAGAGATGGGAAGGTGGGGAGAGAGAATCCCAAGAAGGCTCTGCGCTGTCAGCACGGAGCCCAGCACAGGTCTCAAACTCACAAAACCGTGATACCATGACCTGAGCCGAAACCAAGAGTTGGAAGCTTAACCAGCTGGGCCACCCAGGTGCCCCTTAAGTTTGTATTTCTGAGTGCCATCTTAAACCCAATATATCAGCATCTCCCGGAGTAGGGTCTTGGGAGCTCTGACTTTTAAAAGCTCCCAAGTTGATCCTGGTGGTCTGCCAGGTTTGGAAACTAATGCATTTATTCATAGAGTGAGCCCTCTGAGAAGAGAATTTCCTCTAAGACCTCAGTACCAGGAAAAAGCTGGGCATTTCCTGAGCATGTGATATGATTTTTCTGTGAACACAGTCACATGTTTTCCTTTTGCTTTTGTGGTCCAACTTTTGCAGCAGTATAGGGCCTTATGGCAAACATTTGTTTATGTGTACTAAATTTATTCTTGGTTTTGTTTTCCTGCCCTCATTTTTCCTTTGTACCAATATTCTTACAAAGTATTATCTGTTCATAAGGTCTCTAATTGTGTTTTTCTAACACCTGTGTTGCTTCTGTACAATAGAAACCTAGTGGATCTTCAACCCGCTGATTTAGTAAAGCTTTGAAAACTCACTTTGGGTCAGAAAAGTCCCATTTACCTCAGGGAGCATTCTGTTTTACCATACCACTGCAGTGTAGTAACAGGGGTCTTCTTTAATTTTAGTATCACAAGTCTAGGGTATGAATCCAAGGTCTTTATTGAAACTCAAATCATATATCTGGCCCTAATTAGGGTATTGATAAAATTGAATAGATGGTAATGTCATTTGAGAGCTGATTTTTCCACATTTTTCTCTTGCCTTGTTTTAAAAATTTTTAGTTTTTCTCTTTTTGGGATGTTGAATTCAAAAGTGTATTTCCCCAAGGTCTTTTACTTAGATCAAATACACAGTATAATTTTGAAGAAATTAAATATTATATGCCTAATTGTTTTTCATTGTTTTTACAGCCTTGTCATGTAATTTACACAGATTATCGGCCGACACCATTGCAGCACTACATTTTTCCAGCAGGGGGAGATGGCCTGCACCTTGTGGTTGATGAAAATGTGAGGGAGTAATGGTGATTCTTAATCTGTAGTGTCAGGGTAGAAGTTCATTTTTTCTTTCTTAAGTAGTTTTATAGTCCAGAATTGTTGGGTTTGTGTGTACTTGTATTTCAAAAATTATATTTAAGACTTGTGTTTGGTTCTCTGTTTCTCTTGTGCATGAATTAAGATTTTTCTTCTTTCCCAGTGTTTTAAAATGCCTGGAGAATAGGGACTTAGGATGTGTTTCAGATATGTTATGTTTTGCTTTACCCCCTTTTAATACCTCTTTATCACCTTTTATTGTACCTCACACACAACTTTATTTTGTATTTTTTGTTTTACAATTTTTTTAATATTTGTTTATTTTTGAGAAAGCACGCCTGTGAGCAGGAGAGGGGCAGAGAGGGAGAAAGTGGATCCCAAGCAGGCTCCAGGGTCATTGCCCACAGGGGGCTCATCTCATGGCAGTGAGACCATGACCTGAGCTGAAATCAAGGGTCAGATGCTTAACTGAGTGAGCCACCCAGTGTCCCTGTACAACATGTTTTAACTCTTTTAGTGACCTTTGTTATCATTATCGTATTAAATTATTTTTATTTTGAGGAAGGTTTGTTTGGAGGTATGAAAAATGTTTGGATTTTGGTTAAATCTTACTGAAGTAATGTAGAAAAATATTTGATTCCAGGGTGATTTCAGAGAAGATAATTTTAATACTGCAATGCAAGTACTTCGAGATGCTGGTGATTTGGCAAAAGGAGATCAGAAGGGGCGAAAAGGAGGAACAAAAGGTAATTTGAAATTTTGTTAACTTTTTTCCCTCAGGAAGCTGTATAAAGATCTAGATAGTAAATGATAAAATTGGATAAAGGTTCATCTCTTTTTCCTATATGACATTAATTGAGATATAATTCACATACAATACATTTCATCCATTAAAATGTACAATTTAATGGTTACTGGTATATTAACAGAATTATGCAATCATTAAGATAGTTTTTTTATTGAGATATAATTCATATACCATAAAAATCACCTTTTTTAAGTGTACAAGTCAGTGTATTTTAGTATATTCACAAACTTGTGCAACTACTATCTAATTCCAGAACATTTTCATTAACTCAGAAGGAAACCCTGTATCCATTAGCAAGTATTCCTCATTTTTCCTCACCTCTTCCCGCACCCCTCGGCCTTAGGCAGTCCCTAATCTACCTTCTATTTCTTTTTTCCTTTTTGAACATTTCATATAACTAGAATCACAATTTGTGTGTTTTTTTGCAGCTTCTTCTTTCACTTAGCTTGTTTTCAAGGTTCATTCATTCTGTAGCATATGTCAGTACTTCATTCCTTTTACAGTCAAACGACATTTCATTATATGAATATGCCACATTTTATTTATTTGTTATCAGTTGTTGAACATTTGGGTTATTTCTCTTTATTGCTTATTGTGAATAGTGCTGTAAATATTTGTGTTCTGTAAGTTTTTATGTAAGCATACGTTTTCTTTTCTCATTGAGCATATACCTAGCAGTGGAATTGTTGAGTCATATGGTATTTCATATGTTTAAATTTTTGAATAACTGCTAGATTATTTTCCAAAGTGGCAGCTCCATTTTACATGCCCATCAGAAGGGTCTGAAGTTTCTATTTCCTCCACATCCCTGCCAGTATTTACTGTAATCTATGTGAATATAGTCATCCTAATGGAATAAAGTGGTATCTGAGGGTGGTTTTGATTTACATTTGTCTCATGGCTAATGTGGTGTTCATTTATCTCCTCATGTGCCTATTGGCTATTTGTATATCTTATTTGGAGAAACATTCAAAATCTTTTGCCAATTTAAAAATGAAATTGTCTTGTTGTTGAGCTATAAGGATTCTTTGTATACTCTGGATAGTAGACCCTTATCTATATTTTCCCATTCTGTGGTAATGTGGTCTTTTCACTTTTTGTTGGTGTCTTTTGGGTCCCCTGGGTGGCTCAGTTGGTTAAGCGTCTGACTTTTGATTTCCACTTAGGTCATAATCTCATGGTTTGTGAGTTTGAGCCCCACATCGGGCTCCACACTGACCTTGTGGAGCCTGCTTGGGATTCATTCTCTCTCTCTCTCTCTCTCTCTCTCTCTCTCTCTCTCTCTTCTCTCTCTCTTCTCTCTCTCCTCTCTCTCCTCGCTCTCTTCCTCTCTGCCCTTCCCCTCCCGCCTTCAAAGCAATGTTTTTAATTTTGATGAAATCCAGTTTATGTTTTTTTTCTTTTGTTATATATCATACCTAAGAATGCTTTGCCTAATATCATATCTTGGAGATTTACTTCTATATAGTTTTTAAGAATTTTATAGTTCTGTATTTTATCTTTAGGTCTATAATCCATTTGGAGGTAATTTTTACATATGTTTATATACTCTTTTTGCAGGACCATCAAATGTGTTCAAGATTGTGAAGATGATTATGGAAAGAAATTTTCAACCTGTAATTATTTTCAGCTTTAGTAAGAAGGATTGTGAAGCCTATGCACTTCAAATGACCAAATTAGATTTTAACACAGGTACTATGTAATTTCAGCATAGTTTTAATGTTACGTGTAAATGAGTGTATATCTGTTTCTAGTAAGAAGATCAATATGTTGTGATTAATCTATTGTGTATTGCTAGGATATGCAGTTCCCCCTACAGTCACAGTAACAAGTACTCATTACCTTTGTAAAATCTTTAAAAAGACCTTGTTTTATTCTTTCCTTCCTTTCCTTTCTTTTGTTTTCTTTTACTGGGAGGTTTAAAGTACATTGCTCTGTGTAAAATCCAAAGACCCTTACTGAAAAATACTAGAATTATATTCCCTTATACTTCATTGCTATAAGCTCCTTTGCTTTGGGGATTTTCTGTGTGACTACGTAAGGTTAGGTTTCTTGGTCAGATCACTTTCTATATAGAAAGTGCTGTGGTTTCGGGGCGCCTGGTTGGCTCATTTGGTTAAGTGTCCAGCTTCGGCTCATGTCATGATCTCACAGTTCATGGGTTCGAGCCCCACGTTGGGCTCTGTGCTGACAGCTCAGAGCCTGGAGCCTGCTTCGGATTCTGTTCTGTCTCTTTCTCTGCCCCTCCCCGCTCACACTCTGTCTTCTCTCTGTCTCTCAAAAATGAATAAACGTTAAAAAAGAAAACAAAGTATTGTGCTTCATTCTTCTGGAAATCCAAACCAGGAAGGCTTGCCTTTTATTTAACCGTGGTATAATCTTTTGAATAAAGTAGTTACTTATATTTAATTAATAAATTATTCCCACATATTATCTGTAAATGTAACTCAAAGTCACACAGCTAGGTAGTAGCACAGCCTATCCAAAAATTCAGCATACTGAATACCAGCCCATTTATTATTCATTTCATCCTTTTACATATGTAATCTTGTATTGTGAGGAGTGAATAATATCCTCAGTCATCCAAAATCAAATGTCATTTGTATTGCTTTCATTACCAAGGCACAGAACTAAACCCATGCATTTTAGGGCTATTTTTTTACTTATCCATAAGCAAAGTGATAATAACAGATAACCCACATAAACTCCTAAAGTTAGTAATATTTTATTTTTTAATGGAGAAATTGCTCTGCTTAGAAATGTTTTCTTTTAACTGCTAATGCTGAATTTGCTTAATGTCACAGGGTCATATATTTAATTGAGCAAATATATATTGGCTTCCTATTATTTAGTAGATGCTATATGCGAAGGCAGTATGAAGGTTAAGAGCATATGCTTTGGAATTGCTCCTCTAACAGTTAATAGCAGTTTCCATCATTTGGAGTTAGTCTCACTTTCCTCAGTAGTGGATAATAATAATCCCTGCGATCTATAATTGTTAGTCTTAAATATTGGATATACGGCACTTAGTGTAGTTTTTGTTATTTTTATAAGATAGTACTTTTATTCATGGATAAATTCTGTTAGATATATTTTGAAGGGCAATGAATTTTATTAAATGGTAATTTTTATCCACTTTCCCTTTTGACTGCCTTAAATACTCTTTTATTCTTTATAGATTTTTATTCTTTGCAGTGTGTGAGGTTTGGTATCACTGATTCATTTAGATATTTATGTACCTTTGAATTTTTTCTTAGATGAAGAAAAGAAGATGGTTGAAGAAGTATTCAGTAATGCCATTGACTGCTTGTCTGATGAAGATAAAAAACTCCCTCAGGTATGATTTAGTGTCCCTAAGCGTGGGTATTAAGTGTGGTAGGGTACTTTCACTTTGCATTTCTTGGTTTTGTTACTACATATTGCACTGTTTATGCACTGCTTTAAATATGTTGCGTTGTACCCAGAGATAATACCTTGATTTTTATTTTACACTTCTGAAAAGATGACAAAAGGAAAGATTTGCTGCCTAAGGGAACTAAAAACTAGCATGGTCTGGAAATTACTGCTTCAGTTCCTAATACTACAGAATTATTAGTGCTAGTTAATAAATTTCTTTATTTTATTTAGAGAGAGGGAGGGAGGGAGAGAGCAAGTGCCTGTGCAAGGGGGAGGGGCAGAGAGAGAGAGAGAATCCCAGGCAGGCGCTGCATTGTCAGCAAGGAGCCTGACACAAGCCTTAAACTCAGGAACCAGGAGATGATGACCTAAGCTTGAAGATCAAGAGTAGGACACAACTGACTGAGCCACCCATGTACCCCAAGTCACTAAATTTCTTAATTTATAGGACTACCAAACAAAACACCTAATGAAAATCATGTGTTTAGCAAGGAATTTAATGTCTACTCTGCTTTTAATCCAGTGGCTTCTCTTTTGACTATTAGAAATGCCTGGAATTTCTAAAATCTACTTATGACTAGGTGCCCCTCTCAGAGGTTCTGGTTTCATTGGTCTGGTGTGTGTTGTGGTTGTTAGAATCTCAGAAGCTCTTCAGGTGATTCTAATGTGCATCCAAACCTGAGAACTCCTGTAGTATGACCTAATATATGAAAATTTTGTTTTGTGAAAAGAAAGTTCAGAGGTCAGTCATACTCTACTTATAAATGATAGCTCTGATATATAAGGGATTTATGGTAAAACTGCAGTAGGTTGTTTAAAATAGTATTTAACTTACAAGATTTTCTTGTAATTTCTCTTCCAACCTGAATTACTAGTATTTGAGGGCTGAGCTATGTCTTGATACATTTTTGTTACCTTAGCATAGTTCTAATAGTAGACATGTAATGCCATTTGTTAAAGTGCCAATGAGGATGAATTCTTCAGTAATTCAATTGTTTTTAGGTGAAGTACATATTTATATTGAGTATGCCTTGTGTTTATTTATTTTTAGTAGGAGCTGGCTATTATTTTTTTAAGGTTATTTTGTGCAGATATAAATGTCCTTATGACTTAGTTTTTGGGGACAAGGTGAAGTGATGCTGGAAAATTTGAAAGAGGCAGCAGTGCATATATGAATTTTATTTAAAATATATCATTCACATTAAGGAAAGCTAGGACAGAATTATGTTGAGTTTTGAGTTCAATAATCTGGGAATATGGGTTTAGTTTTGGCTTTTATTCTGAAAAGGTTATATAACATTTCTTTGAACAGCCTTCTTTCTTGATCACACATTTTTCTTTCTTCGGTTTAACATTTTTGATGTTCCTTTTCTGTACATTATTGAAAAATAAACATTGTTCCAAACATAGGTCGAACATGTACTTCCTCTTTTGAAGCGGGGAATTGGTATTCACCATGGTGGCTTACTTCCTATTTTGAAAGAAACTATAGAAATTCTCTTTTCTGAAGGATTGATAAAGGTATGATTTTATTTTTATTTATTATGCCTTAGAATTGTGTCATATGGACAGTTTGAAAATTATTATTGTTTTTAAGTAGGCTCCACACCCAACATGGGGCTTGGACTCACGACCCTGAGATTGAGCTGCTTGCTCGATTGACTGAGCCAACCAGGTGTCCCAACAGTTTGAGAATTATTTAGAACACTGTTTCTAGGCAGCTTTACATATATGTGCATACATATGAATGTATAAAATATGTAAAAAATGTTTAAAAGTAAATATTTACATATATATGTTTTTAAACTAGGTCCTGTGGAATGACTTAAATACTGAAGTTGATTTTTATATGTAGTGTTATACTTCTTTCAGGTTTATAGGTAAAATTTTATTGGTTTTTCTTCCTATTATTCAAGTAGGAAATGGTAACACTATACAGTGTGGGGTTTTTCGGAAGGTGCTATTTAATTATCAGAAATGGAATTGATTCTTAGTGGACTCCTTTCTATATACAGATTAAAACAATTAGAAAAGACAGGAGAATTGCTGGTAGACTTACAAAAGAGTTTTTCAGGATATGCTATTTTAAACTGCAGGGAGTCTAACTTAATTTTAAAGGTTATGTTGATGTTTGTACCCAAAAATAAGGTGTTAAAAATGGGAAACAAATTCAAAATGTAGTCATAAACCTGCATATGACTCATAAGTTATTTTATGTTTAATGTTCAGGTTAGAATTTTAAAAATCAGATTTATGAGAATCTCAGCACTAAGTAGAACATTTAAAAAGTCACATTTAAGAACATAACTTAGGAATTTTAGATAAAAAATTGGTTACTATTTATACCTGGGTCCTGGTAAGGCCTTGTTGATGTTCTTTTGTTGATTATTGTTGAGGCTTATTTTAAAGAATCTTTTCTTAAAAATTTAAGTGATATTTGGTGGTGGTAAAAGTCAAATAGAACGATTCCAAATAAAGCAAAAAATGGAAGACCATATTCCCCTTCACTTATCAGGAATACCCATTCACATACATACAAATAATACAGGACTTTTCTTTAATTTTATTTCTTTATTTTGAGAGGGAAACAGTGCGAGAGAAAGAGAGAGAGAGGAAGAGGGAGGAAGTATTAGTGGGGGAGGGAGAGAAAAGGGAGAGAGAATTCTAAGGAGGCTCCTCATTGTCAGTTCAGAGGCTGATGCGGGGCTCGAATTCACAAACCATGAGATCACGACCTGAGCCGAAATGAGGAGTCATTTAACTGACTGAGTCACCCAGACACCTGATGACTTATATTTTACACAAAAATTATACTACCCATGTTATTAGATTTTGTCATATGCATAGCTTTTCATTCTTTTTAACAAGTGAATGGCATTCTTTTGAGTTGATGAAATAAGATTTTTTTTTTTTTTTTTTTTAATTTTTTTTCAACGTTTATTTATTTTTGGGACAGAGAGAGACAGAGCATGAACGGGGGAGGGGCAGAGAGAGAGAGGGAGACACAGAATCGGAAACAGGCTCCAGGCTCCGAGCCATCAGCCCAGAGCCCGACGCGGGGCTCGAGCTCACGGACCGCGAGATCGTGACCTGGCTGAAGTCGGACGCTTAAGCGACTGCGCCACCCAGGCGCCCCTGAAATAAGATTTTTTAATTTTCATTTCTATTGGTGAAAATTTAGATTGATAATACTTCAGTGACTTTACTTGTATGTATACATCTTTGTGTGTTTAAGCCATACAGTTTTTTGTGTGGTCCAGTTTTTGTTGGTAAAGTCTTAAAAGTGAACTTAGCCAGTAACTCTCTTCTCCCCTCAGAGATCCTGAAAGTGGCTCCAAAACTGTGGTATCATTAGTTGGAGAGCCAGGAAATGTGACTTTCTGTGTTTAGAAAAGTAATCTACAGCCTCATGCTTTGTACATTAGACCGGTAGTATCCTCTTCAAGTTAGCACCACTGGAATTTAGGAAAAGACTTTTCTTTTCCCTAAATTAAAAAATTTCTGGGATGCAAGGGACATTAGATACTATTTAATCATTTTATATTTAAAATACTGACACACATCTGGGACTAGTATGTGGTCTTATTTTTGCAATCTCTAATAACTAATTTTGAAAAGTAATGTTTTGTTTGTACTTGAAAATTACAAAACTAGTTTTTTAGCTTAATGTACATGTTTAATCATGTAAATTTTTCATTTATTTAGGCCTTATTTGCCACAGAGACTTTTGCCATGGGAATTAATATGCCAGCTAGAACTGTTTTATTTACAAATGCCCGAAAATTTGATGGGAAAGATTTCCGATGGGTAAGTAAAATAATTAACATGTTGAAATAATTTTTTTTAACATTTATTCATTTTTGAGAGATAGAGCACGAGCAGGGAGGGGCAGAGAGAGAGACACACACACAAAATCCAAAGCAAGCTCCAGACTCTGAGCTATCAGCACAGAGCCCGACACGGGGCTTGAACCCACAAACTGTGAGATATGACCTGAACCGAAGTCATACCCTTAACCAGCTAAGGCACTCACGTGCCCCAATGTATTGAAATAATTTTTATTTTACCATTTGTTTTACCTAAAGTGATTTGGGCTTATATAATCTTTGAGATTTTCAGTTATAAATCTGAAGAATTTGCACCCGAGCCAATAAGCGAGTTCATCAACATTACACTTGAGATCCTTCATTTCTATCCATTAGCCAAAAAACAAAAACCTCTCTTGATGAAAGAGTTTGATGATGAGGGATAAGTGTGCAGATGATTCGTGAATGCTTTAAAACATTTAAAAAAATTTTTTTAATGTTTATTTTTGAGAGAGAGAGACGGAGTATGAGTAGGTGAGGGCAGAGAGAGAGGGAGGTGCAGAATCCGAAGCAGGCCCCAGGCTCCGAGCTGTCAGCACAGAGCCTGACGTGGGGCTTGAACCCACAAACCATGAGATCATGACCTGAGCCGAAGTCAGACTTTTAACTGACTGAGCCACCCAGGCGCCCTTAAAGCATTTAAATATATCTAGAATGTTCATTTTTTAAAGTTTAGGGTATTTAAAGCACCCAGTCTGTACTGACTGCAGTTGCACCTCATTATTTAATCTTTGACTTTTAAAATAGAGGTTTTAATAGGTTTAGACGTAATGTCTTTTCTAAGGCACAAGAAAGGAGAGAAAGGTGGAATCATGCGTAAAACAGTGAATTTGGATAAAAAGTAAATTCTTAATCAGGGACAAGGAACCCATTCAGTAAACAGTTCCTGAATTTAAACTTTGTTAAAGTTAAACCCAATCTCTAAATAAACTTAGTTAGCAGAGTATAATAAAATGTTGTGCTACGGATTCTAAGAAGTCATGTCCAGAAGGATAAAGCATATGAAAGAAGACACTTCATAGAGAGGGCAATCCTTATACTTAGAAACAGCAGCAAATGGTTACTTACCCAGTACACAGGGGAGCTTCCCAGGGGTGAAAAGCAGGTAGAAGAAGAGAAATTTCTAGTTTGAGTTCCAGTACAAGCCAAGAAGACTCAGGTAAATTGGGTTTTGAGAAATTTTTCAGTAGTCAGCTATTTCTTCACTTAACCTTTTGTCCTTGAAAGTGATTTTTTTCTGCTTAGAGAAGTTTCTGACAGTAATTACTAATCATCAAAACACTGAAAAGCACTCACAGTAGAATTGTAAAGGCAAGGCATTTTTTTTTTATTTTATTTTAAAGTTTATTGAATGCTATACAAAAGCAATAGAAGTACAGTGAGATAGGTGCCATTTCTCTTTAGAAATTTTTACGTAGTATTCAGAAACTTTCTCTAACCTGTAACTTTTTAAAATTAAACTTTTAAAAATTCCTATAGAATGTGATTTGTCTGTAAAGCAGTTAAAAGTTTCATGTTTTATATTTTAAAATAGTGTAAGTTTTAAAAATCTTTATAATTTATCAGTTTAAAATTACTTAAGTCTCCAAATACAATTGATACCACAAGAAAATGTGTAAAAAAGTGTTTTGCGACTTTACATTCTTCTTGGCATCTCAAGGACTCTAGGGTAGGTTATTGAACTTAAGAAAGCAAGCTTGATGAGTCAGGATCATTTTATTAAACCTGAAAATCATAACCAACCATAATCTTGTAATGATACTCTTGGGACTTACGGAAATTTGCTTGGATTGCCTTTTCAGAATGTTCTTATCAGATCTTTTTTTAGGATTGGCTTTTTTGTTATGTTTTTCTGGTGCCTTTGTTGCTCCCTGGTTGTTAGGTCTGTTTTTGATGCTTTCATTAATATGCATTCTTGTAGCATACTGGTTCTTAACTCTTTGAGTCAGATATTTTTTGAGAATCTGAAAACAGTGGACCCTTTCCATCAGAGAATAGTATAGAGACACTTACAGATAAAACTTTGTCCATTCTCTCTGTGGTTGAATGTCACCCTGAAATGACTTCTAACCTTTCTCCATTAGGTTCTATTCTCAATGGTGAATGGACTCTCCTGAATTCTAAGAATGTATACCAAAAAATAAGAACTGTACTTGAAAAATAAATTTATATTAATCTAATTTTGCAAATTAAGAAAGTTTATTACAATCAAGTAAAAATTGGTATTTAGTAGAGTTTGAGTCTTTGTTTACTTTCTTATTTCTTAGATTCTGCCATTCCAGAACGTCTAGCTCAAAGATGTTTTTTATGTCCATGGATTAGCCAATCTTTACTTCTAGCTATGGTGTATGTGATCATTTTGGAGCTAAACATTTTTTTTTTTTTTTCATGTTCACATATTCATTTTTGAGAGGGAGAATGCATGGGGGAGAGGGGCAGAGAGAAAGGGAGACAGAGGATCTGAAGCAGGCTCTGTGCTGGCAGCAGAGAGCCCATAGTGGGGCTTGAACTCATGAACTGTGAGATCATGACCTGTGCCAAAGTTAGATGCTTAACCAGCTAAGGCACCCAGGTGCCCTTGTAATATTTGCATTTTTGTGTTTTCACTTAAACTCCTAAAAGGTGATTTTTTCAATCACATTCCCTTTTTTGGAATGTGTTAACTTGTGTTTTGTGTATTTTTCTGATTTAAGAATATGTTTTTCACCAGGTTTTCTCCTAAACTCTGTGTTTTTAATTATGTTCACTCAGATTTCCTCTGGTGAATACATTCAGATGTCTGGTCGAGCTGGAAGGAGGGGAATGGATGATAGAGGAATTGTGATTCTTATGGTGGATGAAAAGATGAGCCCAACGATTGGAAAACAGCTACTTAAGGTAATTGAGTTAAGATTCTGTGGCCTCACCAGGAATTTGAGAAACTTATTTCAGGAGGTACCTTGAAATTAGTTGTGTCAGTTCCAATACCTTTCTAAGTAGATGAGTTAATCTACTAAACCATTTGTGCTTGAAAGGTAGAAGACAGTAACTGCTCAAAGTGCTGTACCCTACTTTTGTACCCTACTTTCTGTTATAATAAGTAAAGATCAACTCATGTGAGGGAGGGAATGTAAAGATCCCCACAGAAGACAGAAATATTTACTTTGCCCTCCCAATTTAAGACACTTTCCCTAACTGCCTTCTCCACTGAACAAATTGCTCTTCCTGAGTAGGGCACATGCTCTCAGTATTTTAGGCCATTACCTTCCCCTAGCTTTGTAACTCCACATAGCTTAATAAATTAATTCTGCAGTCTAGCATTCTAATGCTATTGATGGATCATAAATATCCCAACAAACAAAAGTTCAACTTTTAAGCTTTTTTCAAATTAGCCTGTTCATTTTGCGTGTTTAGTATTTTTGTTTTGGATTGTCTTAAGGGTTTAATTTTTGTTTTATCTTGGAGAACTTCTCAGGGAAGTTTGGCTTGGTTGCTTTCCTTCTCCTCCATGCAGTAAGAACTTATTAAAAAAATTCCTAGAGAAAACTGTTAGTAAGATGGGAAACTCAACATTAATTAAAAATATAAAATTAACTGGCAGATCATTAGCTAAAGCTTCAAAACTTGTTAATTTCATACATGGGTCATTATCTCTGAAATGGACCCTTTTCAGTTTCTAAGACTTGGGAACAGCAAGCAAGGAGAATTTGAGATATGGGCGTGGGAGGTCTTATATGCTAAAGCAAATATATGTAAGAGTATATTTTTTTTTATTTGAAGACAAAGTTTATCTGTACATATTCATAGCCATCATATGGTGTTTTAAAGATTACCACTTGGAAACCTGTTTTTAAGTGTCCATGTAGCTTTAGTTCTTCATGTAGAGAAAATGACACAAGATTTGAAATTTGTATTTTTAGTCTTCAAATTGTGCCAGATATAGTAAACATTATTTTTCTTTCCTTGTGATCTATATATGGAAAAAATTGAATCAGGTTGCTAAATAGTAAGAAGCAGGATTTTAATGACAGTATCTGGTTCCTTTAGTACAGATTTTTCATTTCATTTACTTGGCATTTCTGCATGTAAAGTGCACCTGTTAAGTTTAAAAGTTCTTTTGTCTTTCTTGAATATTCTGTTGAGATCTACCCTCAACAAATTTTTAAATTTCAAAATATATTATTGTTGACTATAGGTACACTATCATATGTCATATCTCTGGAGCTTACTTATCTTGCTTGACTGAAAGTTTATGACTTTTGATTAGTAATTAACCTTTTATACCCACCTCAGTTGTTGGCAACCACCATTCTACTATTTGATTCCATGAACTTGACTATTTCAGAAAAATCATATTCGTGGATTCATGCAGTATTTATCTTTCTGTGGCTTATTTCATTTAGTATGATGTCCTCAAAGTTCATGTTGTCACATATTGCAGAATTATTTTCTTTAAGGCTCAATTGTATTCCATTTTATGTATATACCACCTTTTTTTTAATCCATTCACCTATTGATGGACATTTAGATTATTTCCACATCTTGGCTATGTGAATAGCACTGCACTGAACATAGGAGTGTTAGTATCTGGTCACCATTTAATTTTGATTCTTTTGGTTAAATACCCAGAAATAGAATGTCAGATCATATGTAGTTCTTATTTTTTTTTTTTAATTTTTTGAGGAATATCCATTCTGACCGTTGTAGTACTCAAGAGTTCCCATTTCTCCATCATTTTTATTTTAATGTTTATTTTATTTGAGAGAGAGAGAGAGAGAGAGTTAGGGAATGGCAGAGAGAGAGAGGGAGAGACACAGAATCTGAAGCATGCTCTGGACTCTGAACTGTCTGCACTGAGCCTGAGACAGGGCTTGAACTCACGAACCATGAGATCATGACTTGAGCTGAAGTCAGATGCTTAACCGACTGAGCCACCCAGGCGCCCCTTTCCATCATTTCTTTCTTTCTTTTTTTTTTTTTAATTTTTAAAAATATCCATCCATTTTGAGATTGAGTGAGAGAGAGAGACAGACAGAGGACAAGCAGGTGAGGGGCAGAAAGAGCAGGAGACACAGAATCCGGAGCAGGCTCCAGGCTCTGAACTGTCAGCACAGAGCCTGACACAGGGCTCAAACCCAGGAACCGCAAGATCATGACCTGGGCCAAAGTCACATGCCCAACCAACTGAGCCACCCAGATGCCGCTCCATCATTTCTTAAATTAACTCTTTAAAGCAGGTTTACTGAGATATTATTCACATTGCATACATTAATCAATATTCCTGATTTTTAATTTATTCACGGTTTTGCCACCATCATTACAATCAGTTTGGGAATATGTTTATCAGCCCAAAAAGAAATCTTATATCCATTCAATCACTCCCCATTTCCTTCCTCTTTCCTTTCCCCTAAGCAAACCACTAACCTATTCTTTGTCTCTATAGACTTGCCTATTCTGGGCATTTCATATAAATGTATTCAGATAATATGTGATGTTTTGTATCTGGCATTTCTTTAGCATAATATTTTCAAGGTTTAGCCATATTGCAATATGTACCAGGTCTTCATTCCTTTTTATTGATGAATATTGTTCCATTGTGTGGATTTAGTACAGTTTATCCCTTTATCAGCAGATGTATATTGAGGTTGTTTGTACATTTTGGCTATTGTGAATAATGCTGCTATGAATGTTTCTTTACAAGTTCTTAGGTGAACTTGTTTTTACTTCTTTTCCATATATACCTACGAGTAAAATTGCAACGTCATATGTAATTCTATGTTTAACCTTTTGAGGACTTGGCAGACTGTTTTTCCTCAGCAGGTGTACCATTTTACAGTCTTACCAGCAAAGTATGAGGATTGTAATTTCTTTGCATTCTAGCCAACACTTGTTACTACCTGTCCTTTTGATTTATAATCATACTAGTGAATGTTGTACTAGTGGTACCTCTCACTTAGAATACTGTATAGTTTGACTTGTTGAAAGGGTATAGTACCTGATTATTGATAATATTGCAGTTACATAAGCAAATATGTGTCTACATTTCTAGGTTCCTGGACACATTTATTGAGACTAACTGCCCTACTACTTTTTTGTCCCCTAGGATTCTTTCAGGTAGTTTTACTATTATTAAAGAATTTGTAGGCAGCTTATTCAGAACAATAGCAACTAATAGTTTTAGAACATTTTACATATTTTAGGCATGGAAATAATTACTGGTACTATCCCAATTTTATAAATAAATAAGGCATACAGAAATTAAGAATTTTTTCCAAAGTCATTTTGTTGTTAAATGGCAAATCCTGCTTTTAAAGTAAGGCAATGTGATTTCAGAGTCCATGCTCCTAACCACCATGTGCTACTACTGCTTCTCAGTACTTCATGCAAATAGATTGTTCAATTACTGGCTCAGACAGAATTTGGCATGACAGCACATGCCAAATTGTTTTTTGACAAACTTTTTTTTTTTTCTTTTAATGTTTATTTTTGAGAGAGACAGAGTGTGAGCCAGGGAGGGGCAGAGAGAGAGAGAGGGAGACACAGAATCCGAAGCAGGTTCCAGGCTGTGAGCTGTCAACACAGAGCCCGACGTGAGGCTTGAACTCACAAACTGTGAGATCATGACCTGAGTCAAAGTCGGATGCCTAACTAACTGAGCCACCCAGGTGCCCTATTCTTTTAACATACTTAATACAGTATATGAACTTATAAATCATTATAACCTTAGGTCTGTTTTATTTTCCTTTAAATGTCAATAATTGAGATTCACCCTTAAGTAATAGGATTTTACTGAATGGAATGTTTATTTTCTCAAGTAATAATTAAAATACATAGATTATTCAGAGTCACTGTATGTTAAAGGAATTAGTATGCTTTGTACGTTGGTAAAATTTGGATCTGTTTGTCATATTTAATCATTTTTCCTTTTGTTGGGTTAAGTAGTCTTAGCCAGAAAGATGACAGAATACATCTGTTCATTGCTTGTTGGCTAAAGGTTATTTGTTGCAATTTACAGTATCTTAGCATGCATACGCAGTTCTATATTTGTGCATGTAAATCATTTAATGATCTTACATTTAAAATATTTTAGTAATTTCTTTCTCGGGGCGCCTGGGTGGCGCAGTCGGTTAAGCGTCCGACTTCAGCCAGGTCACGATCTCGCGGTCCGTGAGTTCGAGCCCCGCGTCAGGCTCTGGGCTGATGGCTCAGAGCCTGGAGCCTGTTTCCGATTCTGTGTCTCCCTCTCTCTCTGCCCCTCCCCCGTTCATGCTCTGTCTCTCTCTGTCCCAAAAATTAAAAAAAAAAAAAAAAAAAAAAAAAAAAAAAATTAAAAAAAAAAATATTTTAGTAATTTCTTTCTTAGCCTCTTTGGCTTGACTACTTTTCTACCACCCATTATATAAACGTATTCAACTTTCCAAAATGGCTCTTGTTACAGTGTCCTCTTTTTGTTTATCTAATACCTTCATATCCATTGCCCTTTAAAACTTTTTATTTTATTATGTTTATTTTTTAATGTTTATTTATTTTTGACAGAGAGAGAGACAGAGTGTGAACAAGGGAGGGGCCGAGAGGGAGACATAATCCAAAGCAGGCTCCAGGCTCTGAGCTGTCCGTACAGAGCCGGATGCAGGGCTTGAACCCACAAACCAGGAGATCATGACCCTGATCGGGGTCTGAAGTCGGATGCTTAACTGAGCCACCCAGGTGCCCCGTTGCCTTTTTTTTTTAAAGTATATTTATTAATCTCTATACCTAACGTGGGCTTGAACTCATGACCCCCAGATCAAGAGTTATATACTTTACTGATTGAGCCAGCCGGGTTCCCCTCCATCTGTTGCTTCTTATTTATGGTCAGAGTTTTTATCTATTAGTTCAGATAGAATTTGACATAAGACAGGAGCTTGTTTTTTTTGTATATACTTGATGTGAGCTACAAAAAAAAAAAAAACTATTCATTATAATGTTTTCTTAAATGAAAAGTTGGGTCAGACAGAAAGTGTGTGTATAATATCCAGAAAGACTAGTGAATGTATCTTTTATTCTTCAGCAGTTAAGAGATCCTTTACATTTCTCCAGTATAATCACAAAAACATATATATTCCATAATTTCTGAAATGAAATTTCAACTTAATGGTTTCTTACAGAACATATTGTGCTTTTTGTAAGAGACTATCCAGACTTTCTGCTTATAAACAGTTGTGTGTTCATTTCAACCTGAATTATGTTGGTAACGGCTAAGGAAGATGAAATTTATTTCCTGGTTTTTCAAAGCTTTTGGAACTTTAGGAAGAACATACCTTGAGTATGTGATTTCTTATGGACCTTTTTTGAAGAAGTGGAAAGACCCATGTTTATGCATTTTCTTCTATCTTCCACTATTATAGTTCAAAAAGCAAAAATAGAGTGGCAATTTTCTATACTCCTTGCCTGAATGAACCATGCACTCTACAACTTCAGAAATCATTAGAAGTAGAATACCATTCGAAAGGTAGTATTACAAATCTGCTTTGGAAAATTGATATGTAGCTCTCTTAATCGTACTACCTTTCAGTGAGCAACTTGTCAACTGAAATAATCCTTAAGGGGAGCCTGGGTGGCTCAGTCAGTTAAGCGTCTGACTTCAGCTCAGGTCATGATCTCACGGTTTGTGAGTTCAAGCCCTGAGTCAGGCTCTGTGCTGACAGCTCGGAGCCTGGAGCCTGCTTCGGATTCTGTGTCTCCCTCTCTCTCTATCCCTCCCTGACTAGTGCTGTATCTCTCTCTGTCTCTCAGAAATAAATAAATGTGAAATAATGCTTAAAAAACTACTTAGTATTGGCTACCGTTGTTCCAGGTTAAAGTTTAGGTGACCCTTTTATTAGGCTTTCTCTTGATACATGATTTAAAAATTTTATAATTTGGCTGATCAAATTAAATATGTAAATGTTGAGAAATACTTGATCAATATTTGAGGGTTCCTATAATTTTAGTAATGTGAATATTGAATATTGAAAAGAGAGATGTGAAATAAGTTGCAATTTAATTTGCCCTCTAGGAGGATTTTAGCCCACAGACTCCATAAGATGGATCCTCCTACCTCTTTAGCTTGAGCAAGTTTCTTCACATCTCTGAACCTGTTTCTTGTTTAAAATTAAGACAGTAAATTGGTTTTGTTAGGAATATTGTGAATTGCAAACTTATTATTGAAAATGATTAGTATAGTGATTGGCAAATGCTTCGTAGATGTGGTCATTTTTAAACTTGGTGAATCTATTTACATATATACATAGAACAGAAAGTGAATAGCGAGCAGTATATGGCTCAATAGCACAGTGTCTACTAACTCCAATTCGGGAAGGAAAAAGATGGATTTTAACACCAGCAATTAAATACTTGGCCAGAAAGTGACACATCACTACAATTTATTGGCCCACACACCAGGAGTCCAGAAAGTGTAACCTTATGAAGTGCCTAGAAGGCAGAAAGCTAAACATACTTGGCTTTTAAGAACAGTATTTTTTTTTTTTTTTTAATTTTAACGTTTATTTATTTTTGAGACAGAGACAGAGCATGAAAGGGGGAGGGTCAGAGAGAGAGGGAGACACAGAATCCGAAACAGGCTCCAGGCTCCGAGCGGTCAGCACAGAGCCTGGCGCAGGGCTCGAACTCACGGACCATGAGATCATGAGCTGAGCCGAAATCGGACGCTTAACCGGCTGAGCCACCCAGACGCCCCAAGAACAGTATTTTAAGAACTGCTGTTGGGGTGCCTAGTTGGCTTAGTCGGTTGAGCATCCAACCTTGGCTCTCAGGTCATGATCTCACGTCTTGTAGTTTGAGTCCCGCGTTGGGCTCTGTGCAGACAGCTCAGAGCATGGAGCCTGCTTCAGATTCTGTGTCTCCCCCTCTCTCTGCCTCTCCCCTGCTTACACTCATATCTCTCTCATTCAAAAATAAATAAACATTAAAAAAAAATTAAGAACTGCTGTTCCTAGTCAGTGGATTTTTTCCCCCTTCCCTTTCCCAAATCTCAACTGTTTAATCACTTTGTGTTGGTCATTTAAAGGAAATAACTTAATACATTTCTATAGTATTCCTTAACATGGATTAAATTGTTAAGCAGTTTAATTGGCATCTGTATAAATTTATTTGAAAAAGTTACAACATTGACATTTTTTTTTTCCTCTTAGGGCTCAGCTGATCCTCTAAATAGTGCTTTCCATTTGACCTACAACATGGTTTTGAACTTGCTACGTGTAGAAGAAATTAATCCTGAGTACATGTTGGAAAAATCCTTTTACCAGTTTCAACATTATAGAGCAATTCCAGGAGTAGTAGAGAGTAAGTATAAAATTACTGTAACAGTCTATTTAGCTAGTAGAGTAATAGCATAATTACTGCATTATTGGCTGCTAGGCCATTGTTTATTTTCTGGTTAGCTATATCTTGGTTTTTACGTAAAGTGAGTACTACAATCTGATTATTATAACCAACTAGAACATTTTAAAATAAAAGTAAGAAAACTCTGTCAGAATACCTTTATAGTTGGTTCAAATTTAATATAATTGAGTGTTATAGTCATATTACGTTATAGCTCATGTTGATGAATAATGATACAACAAAAAGCCTGGTATATTAAAATTTGACCTGTAAGAAGCATGTGTGTATTAGCCTTGCCCTTGTATGTTTTCTCAATATAAAAGAGTGCCACAGCACAAGTTTATAAATGATTAAGGAAATTTAATACTTCAGCTGGGATTTGAGTTCAGCCTTTTTAGAATTTCTAGCTCCTATTATGATAATGCTTTCTGAAGTTCAGAAACTAAGTATTCTGTGGTAGCTCTTTTCAAGTAGAATTGATTCTTAGAGGATATTTTGGCTGATCATCAGAGCTGATTAAAATCCAAAACAGAGGCAAAGATTGAAAATACTGTTTTGGGTAGATCTTACAAAAATAATACATAGTCATAAAGAAAAAGCCCCCAGAAAATTGAGCAGAAGATAAAGAGGAAAGTTAAAATCACTTGTAACCTCCTACAGAGCCAGCCACAACACTTTGTAGTTCTTCAAAGTTTTTTTCTTTCTCATACAAATGTTTTTTTTTAAGTGGGATTAAGTACATTAGTTCTTCCTTAACCATGGTTGTTATGTGTTCCAAGATTCCCACAGGATACCTGAAACCACAGAGAGTTGTAACAATATATTGTAATAAAGGTTACGTGAATAAGGTCTCTCTCTCTCTCTCTGTCTCTGTCTCTGTCTCTCTCTGTCCCTCCCTCCCAACCTCCCACGCCCCACCCCCAAAATATCTTATTATACTGTACACACCTTTCTTGTGATGATAAAATGCCTACCTGATGAGGTGAAGTGAGGTAAATGACATAGGCATTGTGATGTAGTGTCAGGCTACTATTGACCTTCTGACAGATCATCTGTTTATAGAATGCATTTGAACACAAGTAACTGAAACCACAGAAAGCAAAACTGTGGATAAGGAGGAAGATGACTATATACAGTTTTTATAAAAGTAACAATGGTATTTACATTTAGTACCTTTTGTTAAATATTTACCTTATGACTTGGCTTTGTGTCAATACTTTACATTCATTACCAGCTCTTGCTTTTTAAAATTTAATTTCCAGTATCTTTTGAAAGTATGATATTTATAACTACATAACATTTCCATTTTATAAATGTGCTATGATACATTTAACAATAAAGGCAAATTTGAGATACTTTTATATCAGTTCAATTTTTATGTAGCCAAAAGTAAATGAATTTTAATAATGTGCCTTAAAGGAAAAAGGCTTAAAACATCCAACTGTGTTCATTTATTTTTTCTTTTTCTTTTCTTTACATGGATGATAGATCATAGTTATTTCTTCTTATGTTAATTTTTCAGGTCTTAAGAGAGGGTTCTTCATTACAAACTATAAAACTGGAAGGAGCTTTGTGATCATTTTACAAGTTGTTTTAAAGACCTAGCACTCCCTTCTCCCCGAATCCCCGTATCCTTATTGCTAAGTGCCATGGCTTCCCCTTCAGATTCTGATTAGACTTTACCAGCCATGGGGGACCAGTCATTCGCCAATCACTGGAAGATTGAGCCCCCAGATACCTTTGTTTGTCCTGTCCCCAGCAACCCCAGTTGATGGCCACAAACAAAGCAGATCTGTTTGTGGATGATACCATTCCATGTCCTTAACCAGAGATACTGAGGAAATAACTTTCCAAATATTGTCTTACAAAATGACTATCACTGTAAAACAATATTTGTCACCAGCCAGTGAACAAGTAGTAGAAACCCACAGGTTTGGTGCACTTTGATTTGAGGGAAGTAGGGCAGGGCATCTATCTGGAAAGAAGTTTGGAAATTCTGGGGGAAAACTAGTCAAAAAAAGAAGTGGGATCTTGATGAGCCGCCCAAATTTGAGATGAATTTTTAGTGAGGTTTGGCGAGGCACACTGTACAAGAGATGGAAACATATAGAAGGCATAAGGAAATTACAAATTGCAGTTAGAGGTCACAAGTGCCCAAAGTCCGTTCTGAATTTTTATGAGGCAAACTTGCCTGCAAATGTAATGTTTGTCATTGTAAGATCAAATTTTATTGAACATGCTGCTGTTACAAGGTCATTGATAGATCCTAACTCCAAGTGGATTGGATATGGTTGGAGCAGCACAGACTGGATCCAGGAAAACATTGTCTTATTTGCTGCCTGCTGTCCTCCACATCCATCAGCCATTCCTAAAGAGAGGTGATGGGTTTGTTTGCTTGGTGCTGGCACCAACTTGAGAACTGGCCTAACATGTACAGCAAGTAGCTGCTGAATACTGTAGAGCATGTCAGTGGAAGCCCACTTGCATCTATGGTGGTGCTCCTCAGGGACCACATATTTGTGATTTGGAGAGAGGTGTGGAAATCTGTATTGCATTACCTGGAAGACTTTATTTAGAGTGTGGAAAACCGGTCAGAGAAGAACCACCTACCTTGTCCTTGATGAAGTAGATGGAATGCTTATAGGGGCTTCGAGCCCCAAATAAGGAAGATTGTGGATCAGATAGGACCTGACAGGCAAACCCTAATGTGGAGTGTGACTTGGCCCAAAGAAGTAAGACAGCATGTTAAAGATTCTCTTAAAGAACTACATTCATATAAACATTAGTGCACTAGGACTGAGTGCAAACCACAACATTCTTCACATTGTAGGTGTGTGTCATGATGCAGAAAAGGATGAAAAACTTACTCGTCTAATAGAAGAGATCATGAGAAAGGAGTACAATAAGACCATTTTTGTTGTTGTTGAAACCAAAAAAAGATGCGATGAGCTTACTAGATAAATGAGAGATGGGTGTCCCACCATGGGTATCCATAGTGACAAGGGTCAACAGGAGTATGACTGGGTTCTAAATGAATTCAGACATGGAAAAGCTCCTATTCTGGTTGCTACAGATGTCACCTCCAGAGGGCTAGATGTGGAAGATGTGAAATTTGTCATTGGATATGACTACCCTAACTCTTCAAAGGAGTTCATTAAATTGGAAGAGCTGCTCGTAGTACACAGCACAAAACAGGCACAGCATACACTTTTTTTTACACCTAATAAAATAAAGCAAGTGAGTGACCTTATGTCTGTGCTTCCTCAATCTAATCAAGAGCACTTATTCCCAGTTTGCTTCTGTTGTTTGAAGACAGAGATTCTGGTTGTTCCAGGAGTAGAGGAGGCATGAAGGATCACCGTTGGGACAGATACTCTCTGGGCAAAAGTTGTGGATTTAATACCTTTAGAGAGAAGTAAAATTAGGACAGAGGTTACTGTAGTCTGCTTAAGAGATTTTGGGGCAAAAAGTCAGAATGGTATTTATAGTGCTGCAGTTAACACCTGTGGGAACTTTGGAGGTAATTTTGTGTCTCTTTACCAGTTTTAGGACTGGTAATCCAATGGGCACTTACCAGAATGGTTATGATAGCACTTAGCAATATGGAAGTAATATTCCAAACAATGCACAGTGGTATGAACCAAAGGGCATATGCGTATCCTGCTACTGTGGCTGTGCTATGATTGGCTATCCAGTGCCAACAGATTATTCCGAGTAATACTTTAGAAGTATCTGTAAATGTCTGTTTTTCGTAATTGTTCTTTATATTCTATGTTTTCAGACAAGATAGTTTTTTAAAACTATGTGTTTATTTATGCAGAGAAAGAGCACACAGGCGTGTGTAAGTGGAGAAGGGGCAGAAAGAGAAAATCCCAAGCAGACTCTGTACTGACAGCTCAGAGCCTAATGTGGGGGCTCAGTCTCCTGAACTGTGAGAAATCCACAGTGACTCTTAGCCGAAATCCAGTCAGGCGCTTAACAGACTGAGCCACCCAGACATCCCAGACAAGATAATTAATAAATAAGGGAAATGCAGATATGACTGCACTGCAGCAGTATTTATGGTGTACATTTTCACTATGTAAGTTGGATATTTCTCTGCATTCCTGAAACAATTTTTAGGGTTTTTTTTTTTTTTTTTTTTTTTTTTTTTTGTATTAGAAAATGCAGGCTTTGTTTTCATAAAAGTAAATGTACAGTAATTAGAAATAAAATAAATGAAGGCAACACATGACCTTCTAATGAAAATATTTGAAGACTGAAAAAAAAAAAATAAAGGCCTAAGAATACATAAAGGTCTAGGGAAGTTTAACTCAATATCTGTGGGTATACGTTTGATTGGTGGCATAATTAGGATTAGAATCTTGGACTCGTGCTGCTAAGCTAAGCTGTTTTTATTAAGTCACAGGTCATTCTTTTTTTAATGTGGTAAGAATAGGTTCAGTAACTTCTCTGAAAAATACAAGGCTGAAAAAAAGGTGATTAAAGAAACTTGAGCTGGATGGTTTTTTATTTTTTATTTTTTGGGAAAGTTTTTTAATGTTTATTTATTTTGAGGGGGAGAGAGATCCCCCTCAAAATTTTGAGATCACAACCTGAGCTGAAGTCAGATGCCCAACCAACTGAGCCATTCAGGTGCCCCTGAGCTGGCTGGTTTTAAGACTTACCTTTACTTTAAATACCACAAACAAAACTTGAATTTTTAAAATACACCTTATAAAATTAATGGCAAATGTATGTAATTTCAGATTATATTTATTATTTTCTTGTTAAGTATTTGATGCCATTTGTCTTGGTGAATAATTATGACCTTAGCAAAGAGAATAATGATTCTCTTTTGTCAAGGAAGCATATTTTTAAAGGGGTTATAAATCTTTCTCCTGCAAAGTAATTATATATAATAATAGAATAAAAAAACAGTATCAGTAAGATTTAAGTACATTGTGGATTTGGATGTAAAT